ACCCCCACCCCCCTTCCCGCAGGATGAGCTCCCTGAGTCGGTACGGACCGAAATCGGCGTTGACTGATGAAGCGATCCTGAATTTAGCGATCCATTGAGGTGTGATCCCACCTCGCCGGCGACTTTGGAGACAAGGGTCCGCCGCTGCACAATGAGGAACCTTCCTCACTTCTTCTACTTCCGATGAGCGAACTGCGGACTAATGAGTCATTCGTCGGTCTGGGAACTTGAAGAGGCTTGCGTCTGTGAGTAACTCATGGTACTCGCTCGGCTCCGGTCCTCGAGACCCGCGGCTTCGTTCGGAATAATAATTGTGATCACCGGCGTCGCATGCTTCGATGCTGCTACATACTGGCTTCTCTGATGCACTGGGGTCGGCCGAACAGAGTGTTCTAAATCATCACATGTAAGGGGCGAAGATACAGCGACCATGTCGGACCCACAAGCCGCTCAGGAGGGAGGCTCTTTCGGCAGCAGACGTGCTTTTTGGGTGAAGAATCGGATGTTTAGATATCTGGCTTCTTGCACGCAACGTGGCTCGCTGACAATTCTGGGACGACCCGCTCGCGCGGGAAGTTGGTTGAAAGTTCCAGAAAAGCGTGTGGCGTCGCAGGTCTTGAGCGAGCGGCAGGAAGAGCAGAGTGTTCAACATCGATCTTCAGAGGAGCATCAGCCTTACAGAGCGCTGTTTTAATTATGATCAGATTCTAGCTCTACTCCTCCTCCTATTCATCCTCCCTGCCAGCGCGACTGAGGCCCCGCGGCTTCAGAATGAGACATTGTACCAAAGCTCGAGAAGTACAGCCGTCATTCTTAGGCGCGGATAATGATGGAGCGAACAAACGAGGTTGCGAGGAAAAAACAGAAAATACCTTGGCTCCCGGAATTCAATCATGCTCGTCTTGGAACGAATTCCTGGCGAATCCGGGCATCCCGCAAGGCCGGGAGCCCTGCTCGCGTCGACCTACCTATGTCTCTTTGCTTGCCCGCGTTTGAACAAGACGGACCTTGTTGCAAGCTTATTATGCGAAAGCGGACACGATAAGATACTGTAACAGTTGAACGTTGGTTGAAACGCCTTCGGACTGAATCCCTTCCACATGTAATCGGAATATCCTTGTGGAATTGCATTGAACGGCATCATTTTAGGGTACACTTTTTCGGTACACCCCAACTCGCCGCGACCCAGCTCGCCGCAGGATCCAACTCTCCGCCGGAGGCGACCACCTTAGAGCGACTCGTCCTTGGCTCATTCGCCTTACACATTGAGTGCCACTGAGGGACACCGGCGTCCCTCAGTTATCCCGGGAAACCGGAGAAATCCGGCCGGTGGCACTTCATGTGTAATGCCTAACGCTGATAGGAGCATTAAAATTATCGGCATCCAGAAAAGAAATAATCGCATCAGTCGGCACAGGGGGAGAAGCTTGCGGGATAGGTATCTCACGAAAGTTGGTGGCCCTGACAAGGCCGTTTTTTTGCTCTCAAACACGAGCGACTTGAGCCTTGTCGATCTCCTTTCCTCAGCAGGATCACAGCCATGACGATCTATTTCCTACGAGCAAGACTCTCCCCATCGATCGGTGTGAGCTCCGCTTTGGCATATAATCTTCGATTCTGAACTTCGCTCAAATGTGGGGGTGATCGGGCAGAAGAGAGGTCTTCCGGGAGGAAACTCGGAGAGACTAGCTTCAAAATGAGTTTATCAAGGGACGGCGTCTGTCGGAGGGATGGACCTAGCAGCGACGAGGAACATTTGGTCGGAAGAGTCGTCTCGGACTTGAAAGAATGGTATAAGGGAAGCTTGTAATCGGTCGGGATACGGCAGCTCCGTAAATCAAGAAAGGCCGCGTCGTGGCCACTCACTCCATATACGCGCCAAAGACAATGCCGAATACGGTAGCTCGTCACAGAATTGCTCTGAATGCGGTCACTCGGGACATTGAAGCGGAGCTCGTCACAATCTGAGAGGATCAAAGGGGGAACGGCGGGAACTTCGCAGGAGACAGAACCCAGCCCTGTTCCATCCTCAGAATATCAAGATTGGGCATGTGTTCCCCTGGAGACCATCGGCTAATACAAAGCCCTGCCTCGTGGAGGTGAAGCTCTCATGGGAAATGGGAGGAAACTAGGGTCTGTACTGTAGGGGTTGGGGGGCTATGGATGTCATGTGCGAAAAAAGGCCGGTGGGATCAGAAATATACATATATACATATATACATATATACATAGGATCAGCAGATCGCAAAGAGGAACGGCCCGAGCGGAAGACTAACCAGAGAGATTTCCACGATACAATGTTCAACCCTAATGGTCAGAGAAACTCAAAATCAGAGATACGCAAAATCAGAGAAACGCGAAAATAGAGAAATGCAAAAATAGAGAAACGCAAACAGTGACGCTCATTCGCAACACGCTTCAGCGGACACGGATGTCGATCGTAGCTATTGATACCCTTTTATTGTCGAGATGGGATAAGATATCGGAAATTGCGCTGCCTACGGTTTCCGCATCAGTCAATTTTGATTTTAGCGAGCCGGAGCCTGGTGATGTTTCGATGCGGAAGAGTCTTCGGATGTGAGTGACCGAGCCCGACTAAGCCACTCTATTGAGAGCCTCGCTACTAGCACGGCTGAATCTGGGGGTTCATTCACGAGTCGTCAGAGCGCAGGTAAACCGACGGAGGCTGCTCTCAGCCCTTGTTCCTTCAGGAAGTCGACCGAGATATCCGATGTCCGGCACCCCGCTTCTCGCTGGATCGCTAGCCGGTTGCCTACAAGACGCGGCTTAATTGTGCATCAATTTCATGATAAGTATCTCATCGCCGCTCTGATCGTTGAGAAGAAATACGACTGAAGCAGTCATGACCATTTTAGACGGACGATGTGGAGTGAGATAGGGTCAGCGATTTCGCTATTGGCGACGCGATCTATAATATTTATTTTTGAGAATCGGCGCGTTACAACCAACTCCGAAATCTGAGCCGGATTGACCCGCGCGAAGAGGAGTTCGTCCCCGACTACCCTCATTAATGGGTCTAGCGCTCTACGGAGAGAGAGAGCGGGGAGCTGATCTCGTAGAGGCAATGTCCCAGCCTGTGAAACTCTGACTTCGGTCCAGCCGTAGCTGCCCCTTGGTCGCTTGTCGGAGGACAAGGGCATTGGGGCGGTCCGCTCTTCGCATCGAGCCCAAAGGAGACAGAACGGCTGAGGAGCCCGGGGTAGAGATGTGTTCGGAATAAAGATAAGATTCAATTTCGGAATGGAGAACCTCCCTGTTTCCCTATTCTCGGGAGCCAGCGGGTAAGATCTTGAGTCCCGGAGTGCTTGACCGCGGATGCGATATTGGAAGATGTCCTGCTGAGACTCACGCATCCCCGACCGGTCCACGGAAGGGGTTCGGACACTCTCGATTTTTCATTCATGATCGACGCGGCCCCCTATTTAGTGACCCGCGCTTTTGCCCCAGGCAGATACTGAAGTGATTCAGTCCAGAGCTGCATACATCTTACTATTTTTTACGCTGTATAGCTTGTGAACCCGGAGATTCTGTAGGACTCGGCTCGCGATTCCCGCCCCTCAGCCTTCACGGAGAGGGTCACACCGAAGCATCAGAAGTCAGAGTGACCACGGTCACTCACGGAGCTCGCAATCATCTGACCGAACGAGGCCCAAATTCTGCTCCTCCCCAGATATTAACACGCTGAACCCACGAGCAGTGGGCGAGGTTGTGTGCTCGGAATATGGAGACATATCCGTGGGGGATGTATGAGGCGTTTTTCGGCACGTCGTCGCCGGCCGCCATGAAACCATCCAACGCACAGTGCTGTGACCCTTATGCGCAGACTCCGTCTCGAGAGGCTTGTTCCGTGAAGACTCAAGGGTTCGGTCGGTCCATCCGATTCGAGTCGATAATTGATCTCGAGCACGCTCCTCTCGGATAGGCGAAAGTCTGAGTGATATGTTAGTCTTCGCTCCTCCGAGCTGTCACGAGTCCACCGACTCCCGAGCGAAGAGCTGAAAACAAAGAGATACAAACCAGCAAAGTAGAGAGCTCTCTTCCGAAGAGGAGCTCAGAGAGAGCTGCTCCTCGGAGGCAATTTAATTCGACGGAAGTATCGACTGCTGGAAGAAGTCCGCCTGTCCCATTCTGGTCGGATTGAGTGAGTATTCCAAGATATTCCAGAGCAATGAGCGCTCGAACACAAAAGAAGCTCGTGATCACGGGTTCGAAGGGATCGGCCGAAACTGCATCCGAAGCACGATTTCTCCGAAGACATCGGTGCAGCCTTTCTTACGGCTCGCAAGAGGGCGAGAAACCTCGCGAATCGTTGAATATGCTATCTCGCCCGAGTTCTCTACCGGCAAGAATAGACTCGTTTCAACCGATCTGAACAGCATGGGAGAAGTCAGGACTGAGACATGGGAACCAGTCTGTTGTGTCCGATCGTCCGTCATCGGGTCAGCTGTAGCCTAGAGACTCAATGTTCGAGATCCCATAGGCTCTTACGGTACCAAGCGATCGGCCCTTTGTAACAGGGCGTCCGTCATATCCGAGTCCAGTATACCGAGGTTCTACTGTTCGCCTTGTATCGTAATTCCTTCGGTTCTATCATAATCCTCTCGATTCACACCTTGAAAGAAATTCTCAGACATCACGGCTCCCGTTTATTCTCGACATAGCCTTCGGACCGTGACTTGTCATGCTCCAGAACTCCGGACATAGTTTGGTCCGCGCGGATTCATATATTTTGGGAATTTTATTCATACACGACGAGGCTCCTCTGGTCGATGGTGCCCCGCAGTGCGGAACAAGCAAGCAACAAGAGCGTGTCCTGGACTCTGAATGGCGGAACGTCCGATAATTCAGGTTCAAAATTCAATAACGTCGGAGAGAAGCATCACAAAAACCGTAGACTGGATCAATGCTCAGCCCAGGCACTCGGGAGCGAAGAGCACAAAGTTCCGCGATTTAGGCTCTTTCCGAAACTTACCGCTGTCTCACTCAGAGAAGTGGTTCTGCATTGTGGTAGTAGCAGAGCAAGTTCGCACTCGTCTAGTGATCACTGAAGAGAGGAATAGCGATTGCTAAGAGCATGGCTGTAGATCCGAAAACAGCGGAGTCAATTTACGAATTCACCGTGACGGATATCGATGGCAATGAAGTCTGCCTCGAGAAATACAAAGGGCAGGTAGGTTCAAGCGTCTAACAGCTGCCGCCTCAAATTTGAGTTTCAGGAATTCGAAACAGGTCTCGTGACCATGCGTCCGATCGCTAATGGAGGACCGACACGAATCGAAGGCGGCATTTCCTATGTCGCTCCGCCTTAAATTGTACGGGACGTCCCGCTGATCTCATATTCAATTTCCGTTCTTGGGCAGTCGCGAACGGCCCGATTTCACGCATCGATTCGGGAAAACATCCCCATCGAAAATTTCCTCCGTTTCGTTCCCAGAATTTGCCTTCCCATTGTGACGGTGGATTCTTTCGCGCTCCGTGACTCCCCGGGCCGTTCACTTTCGACATATTGCTTCTGACAAAAAAAGACTCTGCTCTATGAGCTCGAGGGCGTCGGCGGATGGAAACTTTCCCTCACTGAGAAACTGCGTTTCACCGCTCGCTCTGTGGCGGCCGAAAGTCGAATATCAGAGAACATCGCGACGCCGGAGTCGACGATCGATTTTTTCCAAGGCGAGCCTCATGGATTTTCGCTACAGATCTCGTTGCTCCTTTCCGAACGACCCGAGGTAGGAAAATAAATTTCGCGATTGAATCGGTGTAGTCATATCGGTGTCGCAGTGTCGCCGCTCAGAGCGAAAAAACGAGCTTGTCAAATTCGGCGTATCAGATAGACTGCTTTCTATCACGATCAGGTTTGTTTTCTGATTGTGGGGAAAAAACGCGAATCGGGCCCGATGCTTGAATTCACCCATCAATCCCAAGATGCGTCCGAATTGAAACGACGGGCCGTGTTCGATTCACGCTTTCCTCTGCATAGGCCTGACCGAGAGCAAGATTTGTGGGAACTTCCCTGGGAATAAACCATACTCGAACCCTCCTCTGGATCTCGAGCTCAAGAAGTTAAGCAGAATACCGACCGAGGGATCCGGTGGCGATGATCGCCGCCGACTCCCACGAAATGATCTCTGAAAAGGTAGTGAGTCACACCACATGGGCGCTCACATTGCCAAAACGAAAGCAAAAGACCCTTTCTGATCGACTCCTCAGGAAGGTAGAGGAGGCCATCGGAGCTGTAGGTGTGACCGTTCGTTGTATATCAGAGAGAGGTTCGCTTGCTCACATTGGCATCGTCTCGATGCCGGAGTAGCTGATCCGAATATAGCCCCCGGCTTCCCGGGAAGCGGAACCTGGATCTGAGCGCCCCAACTCCCATTGCTCCGAGGTTGGATGCGAAACCGCTTTTCGGGCGCCGGATCTCTTCGACCGGACATCTGGTAGGAGCTCATAGTAATGGGGTCCGGCAAAGAGGGTCCGGAGTATCCGAGGATCTTTGTATCCGAACATGGGCTCTGATGTAGAATAGAACGCAGAAATCGTCAGGGGCATCGTCCTACCCGTTGTTGGGACGCGCGTGGGTGCGAGAAACCCGCAAACGCTCCGGGAGCCTATCGCCTCTGATTTTCCGTCTTGCCAGAATAAGTCCATTGTTGGCCAATTCGATCAGCATGGGAGAAGATAGGACCGATACGAGAAATCCATCAGCTAGTTATTTACAGAATTCTGTTATCAGGTCTGCCACCTGCTACAGCCGGGGCAGCTCACATGCGGGGGCGTGCCTAGAATATTTCTTGGTGCGGGGCTTGGTTCAGATCTGTATGGGACGGGGAATCCAAGAGGTGACCCGCTCCTATACTCCACCATGACGAGCTCTGTCCTTAGGGGCTGGAGCCCCACACAGCTTCGGGGTGGATTCTTTCTTACATGAGGAACCCCAAAAGCTTGGTAGAACCGACTATTCGGTCTGTAATAATCGGATGTCCGGGGATATATGTATATACTTTTCTGATCTCAATATTCAAACACATGTGTATATATTCGTGGCGAACTGTGTCCAGGCTCCGAAATGGCATTACCCAGAAGGGAGAAGATGTTGGCTGATACTCAGCATTTTCTTGCAGGTTGTTCTGATTGTCAACGTTGCATCGAAATGCGGATTCACGAAGCAGTACGCCGGACTCGAGGAGCTTTATCAGAATTACAAGGAGAAGGTTCGATGATTTCTCGAGACGTATAATGCGTTCCTCCTATTCGTAGAGCCTCAGCGATTGATCCCTCACAATTTTGATATTAGGGCCTCGCAATCCTGGGATTCCCTTGTAACCAATTTGGATCTCAAGAACCCGGCTCTGAGGAAGAGATAAAGGAGTTCTGCTCCCTCAAATACAACGTGACGTTCGATTTGTTCAAGAAGGTCAGTGATTTCGAACATTGCTGTTGGAAGAAGCTATGTTAACCCATACAAAATTGAAAAGTGTGATCCCGACAGCGTAATTGCACGACGGTGATGACTCCGTTTGAAACGATGACGTCTGTGTAATTTGCGGAATTTCGTTGCTCGAAATACGGCAAGATCCAGTCACGCCCTTTTACCGATACGACTTCATTTATGATTATATTGTCGACTTGAAGAGGTCGTTTGGCTGACAAATCATCTATGTATAATTATAAGTTTTTTCTTTGTGTATTTGAAGATCGATGTGAACGGATCCAACGCTGCTCCACTTTGGGTGTTCCTCAAGAATCAGCAGCATGGATTCTTGCTGGACGCCATCAAATGGAACTTCACAAAGTTCCTCATCAACAGAGAAGGTTCGTTCCGATTGAGTGAGCGTCACGATATCGGAGAGCTCTCTCGATTATCCATTTGTCGTGCATTTCGTTTCGATAGCCGGATCTGATAATCTACAAATTCAATTACGATCGATACGACTCGTTCCACCTCAGGTAAACCCGTGAAACGCTATGGACCGAATGAGGATCCCGCAGGAATCTCCAAGGATATCGATGGGCTCATCTGATTTGATTTCCCCTTTTGAGGGCGTTCCTGTTTTTATCAAATCGGGAAGGCATTCTGTTCCGTGAAATCAAATACGGTACGAAGAATGCCCGGGCAAACTTTAGGCTTCAATCGAAGCCAGCGCTAAAACTGAGAAAACTCACTCGTTGCCATTCGTTTGCACTCATTGATCCGAGATCAGCACTAATGGCGTCTATATCGATCATGAGTGATAATCTTTAATATATCAGAATAAACGCATCTGGCGATCCTATCCGGTATCCCGTGTTTCCTGTCATTCCTCTTAGATTAGAGCTCGAGGAGCTGGGAGATCAATAGACGAAAAGGTACAAGAATTAAGACCTCGGGGCCTTTCGATGGTTCAACCTGGTCAAAATATCCTATATAACCATTTATTACAATTGCGACATTAGAATCCGCACATAGATACATCCTAGCTTCTCATTGGCCATCTTTGCGACGAAGTCGAAGATGAATCACTTTCGCTGTAGGTCCAATCGGGTGATTACTCCATCTGCTAGCTCCTCGTATGTTTTCGCGATTGGACAATTTGGTTGTACAACGCAAATTGGTTTGCCTTCGTCCGAACACTCACGGATGGACAAGTTCAACGGGATGCTCCCTGCGAAGAAAACCCAATAAACCTCGAAGAATCGAGAAATATAATTCCTACCGAAGAGATATCACATAAAATATCGTTTTTGCCATTGTTCTTCAAGGCTTGACAGTTCTCTGGCCGCCGTTCTTCACTCGAAGGAGACGAGGATAGGGATACTGCAGAGACTATTGGAAGAAAGCATGCGTCTGATCGTTCGGTGGGATCATCCCGGGGGCACACGATTTCAAGACGAGGGGAGGCTCACCTAGGAAGGGTACATCCAGCTCTGCCGCTAATTTCCTCGCTCCTTCTCTACCGAAGATGTGCGTTGTGTGCCCGCAGTTCTCGCACACATGCTCAGCCATATTCTCAACGATTCCCAGATTGGGTACCTCCATTTTACGAAACATTTCGATACCACGGCGGGCATCGAGGAGCGCTATCGTTTGCGGCGTGGTGACTATCATTGCTCCGTCAATGGGTATATTCTGGGCGATCGACAGTTGTACATCTCCAGTCCCTGAAATCGCATAATCACATTGAAGCAGTCGCCCCAGAATTTCGGGATCTCGAGCTGAGATTTTGGTTGAACAATGTCGAAAACAACCGAGGGGGAGCTTGGTGAGAGATGATTCCGCAGAAGAGCGGTGGCCTCTACCTGGGGGCATATCGACGACGAGCAGATCCAGTGGACCCCAAGCCACGCTTCGGAGAAGTCTTTGAACGCCTTGCATAACCATCAAACCCCGCCATGCGATCGGCTTGCCTTCATCAACGAGGAAGCCCATCGACATCACTCGCACGTCGAAGTTCCGAAGCGGTACCATGAGGTTTTCTGGATAAGAGAACAAGTAATCGATATCAGACTAGCATGCGGGAAGAATAAATATTTTGATGCTTGGTCGATTCTATTCGAGAAAACTCACGCTTGTTGAGCTCAGGCTCGCCTGAGAGATTCATCATTCGCGGAATCGACGGACCGAAAACATCAGCGTCTAGAAGACCTACTGAAAGGCCTTTCTTGGCTGCACAGATCGCGAGATTGACTGTAAATGACGCACGATGATATCTTCAGATCTTCATCGTCCCGCTGTCGACGAGACATTCTGGATATTCGCGTCTTGATAAATCACGAGAGAGGGAGGAGAAAATCTACCTGTTGTTGTAGACTTTCCGACACCACCCTTGGCAGATGATACGAGAACAACTTTCTTCACTCCGGCAAGGGGCAGAGTCTTCGGCAGGCCTTTTTGCATCCGTTGAGTCACATCGGGAGGCGTCTGATAAGATGAAATATGAAAGATCTTCCTCTTACATCAGACAGGCTATCGAACGCATGCTTCTCTCTATCTGGAAGTCTCCGGGATCAGCCACCGTCGTCTTCAACGTACCTCACATTCGGTCGATACCTTCAACAGCCTGCTGAAGGTGGATGTCGAAAAGTTCACATCTTATGGGCTGCTCCAGAGCGTAGAACGGATTCTTCAATCCGTAGTCGGCATAGATCTCGAATATTTTCCGCAGCAGTGCATCGACATTGCTTTGTCGAGGATCGGCGACCGCCATGAATTTTATACCGGTCACTGTCTGGTAGCAATAGAGCTTGAATGTGTCGGTCTCGAGTACCTCGATGCCCGAGGATTTCGGCTCAGGGCTCAATTGGGATGCGATCGCGAAAAGCGAATGGAATGTCGAAGCGAAAAACATCCTCTCATTCAGACTCGGCCGAATTTTTCCGAACTTTATGTTGATGGGGTAGTTTTCCTGCTTTTCAAGCACATCGCCTATTTCTCGTCCGTCTTGAAGCTTGAGACCTTCGGCCGGAATTCCGTTTATGGCGAGGATCGTGTAACCGACTTTGATTCCATCGCGCTCGCCGAAAGTCACCCTCCATCGATGGATGACGTCTCGTTTGATGGCCAATTGAATATCGAGAGGATAGCGGAAAGTCTTCTCGACTTCAAGGACCGCAAGCGGTGCATCCCAATGATAGATCAAACCGCCGGATTTGTTGACGATGTATATGCTCTGAATCCCCATACTACTCGGAATGGGCCCGCCTCAGACAAAGAGTTTGGCTTCCCCACTCAAGACCTCACGGTTCGTTTCACTCTCACAAGAGTATCTGACGCTCACGAAGCGTTTCCGCTGCGCTACCACCTCGAGGAGCACCTTAACCTCTTCGCCAACGAATAACGCGTTCGGAAAATGCAAAGTCTGCTCCACAACCACGCAGTTCGGGAGGTTCTTAGCGATCAGACCCGAAACCAAACCATTCAGGAGAGCACCGTGAACTATGCACCGATCGAAACCGAATTTCCGTCCTGCCTCCCTGTCGAGATGTAACGGATTCCTGTCCCCGGTAATTTCAGCGAAATGAGTCAAGTCTTCCAGAGAGAAACGTCGTGACGACACGGCGACTCGTCGCTCTAGAAACGTTGTGGAAGCTGCCTAGAAAAACGCCCTTTTAGAGATTTGAAGAGACGACGGTGGCTATCGATGGGGAGAAAAGCACTCAGTTCAAAATGAAATATGGATGCAAAGCGAATATGACTCCCGAGAGAGGTGAATCTCTTTTCAGAGGGGTTCTAATTCGGAGGCAAGCTGGAGGCATGAATTGAAAACCGGAGGTGTCAGTTGTTTCACCTTTGAACAGAGATGTCGAAGTCCCGAGTGAATGCCTAGCTTCGGTACGCGCTTCAGGAGCATACTCTGAGAATTCCAGCCGACGAGATAATCACAGATGAGTCCTCGAAGACTGAAAGCGGTGTCGGAAGTCTCGAAATTGGAAAACGATTGGCCACGGCTTGTGAAAGACTCTCGTTTAGTTCGTCTGCTGCGGGAAGTAAACAAAGGACATGTGTCAGCTGACTGTCGGGGATCCCTGCGGCTGCACGCATGGTCGCTCCGTAGTATCCTAGAACATTCGCAAAGTGAGGAATGCCGCCTGACGTGTGTATTCCCGCCGATCAAAGTCTGGGTCTTTCTCGCGGATGAGGCTGAGAGTTTTCACTCTTCGAGCGTAGGTTTCGGCGTGCTGATTCGAATCAATGAACGCGCGGGTCGCGATAGAGGAGGAAATCCCCAAGGATTTTCCAGCCTAAGAGCACCTCGACGAGCGAGAGTCGAATCTTGCGCAAGCTACGCAACTTCCGAATCTTCAATTCACAACGCAGCCTGCCATAGTTTAGTATGATCCTGGATCGAGGATCATTTGGCGGGGGGCTCTTCCGTCTCCATTTCGGCCCATCTCCTCACGTTCACCAAAAAGTTCCCGAGCCCTGGCAGGCATTTCATAGACGTGATCGCTACTCTCTCTAAGCGCCTCGGTGGGACTGCTCAACGCCGAATCAGGAAGCGGATTTTCGGTCAGATGGACCACGTAGGGTTCATTCCGTTGTCGAGTGGCTAGCCCGGCAGACTGAGAATCGGTCGACTCGACGTCTTCGGCCATGTGGCGTCTTCCAATCTGAGGTGGTGAGATTGTTGACCTCGATCAGATCTCAAGAACCGCAGTGGGCGACAGCGGCCTGTGGGAGAAGCCCGACCACTGGCCTTTGACTGACAGGAGAGCCCCATTGGAGGGTTCTTGAACGAGTTTCAGGATCTGGATCCGTGACCGTACGGCGCGGCGCTTGTCGGACGCTGAGTCGCATCAGTGGCCTCGACCGCGGCTATTATCGTGCGAATCGAGCCCTTTTAATAAGACTCGGATATCTCTGTCCCCGTTCTGAGCGCCGCATGGAGTACCAGCGTAATGATCGATGAGTCTCACATAGAGAGCCAGAGAGAATGCTGATATATCCTGGCGGACCCATATCATTTGATTTGATGCCCGGTAAGCCCCGACAGAATCGATTCAATCGCGATGTCAAGGGGTCAGAAAGAGACGTCGGCTGCAGGGATATGTCTTTAAGACTCCAAAAATACGCGATCAGGCAGGATGTCATCAATCGGAAGTCGTCGCGAAGGAATTCGACGCGGATAACCCTTATGAGACGAGTCCTGCAGTGTATGGAAGGAGCTCCCCTATATCCGTTGCCTTACTCGTCGGAGGAAGTCGGCGAAGTGAAATTCCATAGAGTAACAGCGAGGTTCATATAATGAAGGAGGAATGATGACCGACAGGCTCGGCGTCCTTATTCGGTGCACGTACTCGCCGCGAAGAATCCCTCTCAATGAATGTAACTGCTCGAGGGGCGCACGATGTCGTCCAAGTTAATTTCGAGATCATGCTAAAAATCTTCATATTCAGCGAGCGTTCTTCGCAGCAGCAACTATTATGGGTCTCAGTTCCTCGATTTATAGAGTCGCCACAATCATCGACCGACATCCATTAATTTGATAATTCGTTTATTCGAATGGGAGAATGCCCTCTCGGCTCCCTGGCGGTCCACCGTTCGTGATCTCATTTTCCGGCTCGATCGGCAGCTGGCAACCGCGGACGGAATACGTCACTTTCGTCTGCGACTTCCCTTCGCATAGATCTCTTCCAAATCCTCTAGCGTATCTGGGAGGGGCTCGTTTAGAGTCCCTGGCATTCTGTTCAGGTAAAAACACTCGACCACAGCCGATGCGAAAAATATGGCATGTGGAACGCTGGAATGCGTCGCTCTCGCCGGATCCACAACGGAGGGTGCAACAGCTGCCCCGGCTCTCGAGAACATGTGGCAGAGAGCGAATCCCGTGGAGCGGACGGGCGTCGGGAAATTTTCATGAATCGCGATCTACTGCGTGAAGTTCTGCGATTTCAGAAGAAACCGTATCCCCATCGTGGCTACGATGTTCAGCCACGTGAGGTCAGCCGGAACTAAAATCAACTTGAGGGCGAAACAGATCGCACTCAGCACTAGAGGAGCGATTCGCGAAATGCGTCGTCCATAGCGTCGGCAAACGCGAATTCCGATGGGGGCCGCGGGAGTCTCTGAAGATGCTGGGAGCGCATAATTTAGCTGCCGTTTCCCCCCCAACCCCCTCCGAACGTATGGGCGTTGAGCATGATGTGGTAGTAGGCAATTGACTCGCAAAACCACGGAAGGAAGATAATCATGATGTCCAGAGCGATCCTTTCTTTGCGGAGCAGATCATCAAAACGCATCGATTGATCTCCGGTGGAGTAACTGCTTTCGAAATGTCACCGCAGTCGTTCCATCGTCGTCGTCATCTCGGGAGTGGGTCTACTGCTTCGCTTGAGAACGTTCCGCAGTGCCTTCTTAGCCCGAGACTCGAGACACCCCCAAAGCCAGCTGCATGAGACGGAAGTCTCTCAGAGCATAAGAAAGGAGTCCGATGAAGACGACAGGCACCACGTAGCCTACGCCGAAACCGACGTTCATGAGGAAACGATCTGTGCTCGGCATGATTTCCATAAAGAGAGTCACAATGGCTGCGGTGAGACCAGCCGAGCATCCGGCGAGGATGGCTCGCGAGCAGTTGAACCAGAGAAGGGAGGGAGCGAACGTTCCGGAAATGCCGCTTATCGCAGCAGTCATGACACAAGCGTTGAACACCGTCTTGCGGCCGAAAGCGTCGGCGAGCTTTCCGGCAATGGCGCCCCCACCCCAAACACAGAGCCCAACATGATCGAAGACTGAAGCCCGGAGCGTTTCCAGCTGTCTCAGTAAACCAAGTTTCATTCAGAGGTTGCGGTGGCTCTGTAGTGGCGAGTGTCGTACGTCTGACTGAACTCACAGGGTTCTGGATTCGCTCCGTTCGGAGCGTCGTGGAGAATCCCGTCGCTGAATGTCGATCGCAGAGGATAAGCTGAGCATTCGGAGCTCGTTGGGCTCGCGTTCAGAGATGGTTGCGGCACACATTCATGCGGCACGTCCGGAGCCATCAGGGGGGACATCATGTAGGTCCATGCGATCGGAGTAGCGCGTGGAATAACAACGAGCAGGACGAAACCTTCGGGAGGATTTACAAATGAAACGTTTCGCCCCTCAAGCCTCGGGACACGCACCTCACCGTGATAGAGCATCCTCGTCCATTCCGACGACGTTCGTCCCCTACGCGACCGCCTCCGCGAGAGACCGGGGGCATCCGTGTGATCTCTACGAGCAGGATTGCTGCGACGAGCAAGAGGGAGAGTGGAGCAGAAATTTTTTGAATGAGACCAGAAGATGGTTCCTCCGCTGAGAGCTTTCCCGGATCGCACGGATGCTCCCTGGACGCTCCTGAAGGCTGCAGCCCCAGTCTTCGTTTTGTCCGGACTGGTACCGCGGTAGACATCCCGATGTAGTATTGGGCTCGCCTTATTTTATTTTCCGCGAAGTTAGAGCAATCGATTCCTCCGAGGCAATTCGATAATCTCCGAACCTCTATCTGGGCTTAGGTTGCGCAGCTCGGATCGGAGAGCTAGACGGCTTCGAGTCCTCGGGCTCGCGCACTATTAGCGTGTGGGACTCTACAGCCCTGGGTCTCGTTCGGGCCGATAGGGCCGCCAGAGTGGGCCAGGGCGCTCAAATAGAACGAGACATGAAGAACTGCTATCGGTCAATCTGTAGACGACATGAAACAGCGGATACAGCGAGCGGGTCGTCCAAATGAAGCCGGCTGGGGGAGAAAGGCTCCCGAATGAGAACTTGAGGGGAAGGTCGTGTTCTCCCACTCACTTAGTGAGAAGAAGTTTTTATTCCAAAGTCTCCCCTCCAATGCCCACTCGGACCTCAATGGCTCTCAGACTGCCCCGGGGCCTGTGAGTTCCAGACTGTGTGTCGACGTCGTCTGATAACTCCCCGCATGACTCGTCTGCCTGTCCTCCTCCAGCCGACGTGCCGGCAGATCCCGTTGCAACACGCTGCTCGCAACGAGTGTAAATCCTTCCCTCCCCCGCTTCCCAACAGAGAAGCGGGCCCTTTCCGAACGCTGTTCTCCGTCCTCTCCGGTCGCTCGTCCTCCTCCGACTTGGAGTCCATCTTGCGTTTGACTTCGGCTCTGACTCCGGTTAGGTCCTTCTGATCTGCCAGAAGCAAACCTGTCGTCAAACGAGGAAGAGAATATCCGTGCTCCTTTCTTCCGAATCCAGGGCTGAAACATCGACTCTTGCGGATCGGAGACCACCCGCTTTATCACGGCAAGATGTGCGCCGAATTTAGCAGCTTCGTCATCGCCCTGATGGACGTCATAGCGCGAACCTCAAAACAGCTCGGGGTAAGTCTCGTTTCCACTACTTGACTTGCCACAGGCGTGCGCTCGACAAGAATGTCGATCGGCACCGAAGTTCGGTATTGAGTAGAGCTCTGTATTTCTCCAGAAGTCGCTGCGCAGTTGCGCGTCGCCAGATGCGCGGCAACTGAGGTCGCTGCCAGAGGGACTGAGAACGAAAGGGAAACGGGGCGAATCGTATTGCGAAATTCGAAGCGAGCGCTGAGAAATTTTCGCCGCCTACGACCTCGCTCGATTTGAACTCTATCGTGAGAGAATTGTTTTCTATGACGGTGCACGGGGGGATATACCGCTGCTTTGGCGCCAAGCTGATCGCGAGAGCGGCCGAAATAGCTGCCGCCCGATCGAACTCTCCGATCCGACAAAAAATCAGGTCTTTCGGATTAGAAAACATGAAGTTCATCTTCCGAGATACTCTGAAGCGGTATCGTCTGCAGCCGAGGCGGCATTCGATCTGGGGTTTGACTCAGCTCCGGAGGCATCCCGTGGAACTTTCGACGAGGAGGGACCAAAAGACGCGAATCGCGGGAGCGGCAGTCCATGAGTTCTGGCTGCTGCGAGGCTTTTTTACCCCTTCTTCCCCCTCCCCTTCCCACTGCCCTTCCCCCTTGCAGAAACCCCACGAAATAGCGGAGGACGAGCTCCCGTTGAGCCAGCCTTGGAGCTCTGTGGAATTTCAGAGGGATGGAATTCTATTCAGGTCGCACGACGATGCCGGGCACTCAGAACCCAGGCAGCCGATGTACGGTTCGTTGAGAATAATTCATTACAAACCCGCACTCGAGCGTTCTCCGTAATTCTCTTCAGACCGCATTTACGTCGGCGCCGGGGAATTCTCGACCATCAGAGGCGAAACTACCGGACACGGTCACTTGGTGTCCGCGCGACGGTACCTATACAGTCCTGAAACGCAAGAGCCCATACCGTGCGGCACGACGATTTTCCCCGCTCACCGTGTACCCTCCCATACGACAGACTGTAATTGTTCACTGCTCGACGGAAGGAGGCTTTGTACTTGCACTTTCCGCCTCCTTGTCGACGGCTCGATCTTCCATAGAGCTCATGTCATTCCAATCAGTGGGAACAAGACAGGAACAGTGGCTCACCTTGGCTTCCTGACAGAAATCAAGAGATCGAGATCGACATCGGGAATTCGGTCGCTCCGTAAGCTGCGCTTGTTCCAGCCGGCCGCCTATACGGCAGGTCCGTCGACCGGTACACGGTCCTGCTTGATCATTCGATTGGTCGGGTGTGGGTTGCAGTCAGCAAATCGACAAGTCAGCGGAGCCTGGTCCGTCTTTTCGCTTCCGGTCGGCTAACAACATCGCCCATATTGCATTCAGGGTGCGGCCGGTCCGAATGTCAGTTCCAAGGGCGGAGCCGGAGCTAGTTCCTCACAGTGAACTTTCTACTCGATCTCCAATTGCATGTAGCTGCTCGGCCGTCCGGCTCGCCGGCTGTCCTGTAGACGTCGAGCGCTCGAACAGAGTGTCAGAATTCTGTCTCTGCACGTCAGTCGGTCATCGCTCGGCAAGTCTCCAGAGTTTCGCGTAGAGGCTCGGCGGGTTCATCGATCGCGAGGGAGGAATACTAACCGACGGGCTCGGGGAAAGTAGGTAGCGGCGGTCGTCCAAATGACTTTACCGTTTGAATGGTAGAGAGGATTCGAGAAGGCTCGACGCATCAGCCTTTTACGATTATGCGCGAACGTCCCTCGGATTCGCAAAGCCAATGATAGAACGTAATGATCTTTGAACGGATGACGTGCCTCCGCTTCAAAGTAGCTTCTAGAATTCTGCTTTCGGATCAAAGCGTACAGGAGTCTGGGTTGAGCGGCGGCGTAGCCCTTTCGGCCATACTCTCCCGAACATCCGATTCCTCCGTTCTCGTTCCCGTTTTTTCTAGGGATCAGAGAAGCGAGGGCCTCTGTGGAGACACACGAGCAGAATCGAGTGGAGACTGGCCAGAGAGTATGGTTTGCGTGACCTGCGTCGGCGAGTCCACAAAAAAGCCTTCGTTTTAAAGGAACGCCCTCTCTTAGATCATACGCGTACTGTGCAATCATTTGTATTTTCCGCATACAGCAGCGGGAGGGACGAAAGTCGACTCCTCCACAAGCGACACCGTCCAGGGTCGAGGAGCTTCGGTTGTTTTCATTCCTCGGCCCATTCCTCAATTTCATAATTTTCTCCGCGTTCCCCCAGCGCTCCAGAATGACCTGCGCCCGTTTCGCGCGGAGGATTTAAATGGGCCCGTCAAAGTACAATACTAGCCGACGAGTAGAGACTGCATGGCAATCGACGGGTAGACGATCGGTAGAGGTAGATCGAGCAGTCTACTTGCTAGTCCTTTATTCTCTGTGGTATTAGCGATTCAGTATGTAATGACATCACGTCCTCGTCCTCTCTTGACAGGGCCTCGTCCAGCAGAAGATGTTGTGCGGAGCTTCGAAGTCGATGCAGGAGTGCTCTGTCACGGCCGCGGTGAATGGAGGCGTCACTTCTCAGCAGGTATTCGTTCTTACCTGAGTAATGAATACTTGACTCGTTAGATTTTGCTCCGATTTCGCTCCGATTTCGCTCACCGAGTGATACACCGGTGAGGGAGTTATATTCCCGCGTGATCGTGAGGCTTCTTCGTTTAGCCTTCAGCAGGAAATATACGAGATGAAATAATTATGAGATACGAGTCTAATATATAGACCGTTGTTCCCGAATTTGCAGGTGACGTCGACCAGAGAGAAGGTCGAGTAGACAGAAAATCTAAATCGCTTCCAACCGTGGTATTTTGATCCATTTTAGTTCTGTTGATGTAAAGTGACCCTCTCGTTTTTCGGCGTTTCCTCCGAGAATAAAAACAAATCCTTCTAAATTTATAACCGTCTATTCTTCCATCAGCCTTCTTAGGCTTCATGAGCGGATCACAGTGACAGTTTCTGGTCTGGTCAGAGTCAACGCCGACAGCTCACGGTGTCTGACGCAAGTGACTTGCAGTCGGGGGGATGGAAGAGCGATCTCCTGGCACTTCGCCAGAATCTTCCTCGGTCACCTCAAGGAGGAGTGGAGACGGATCGGGGAACTCATTCCAGGGGAGTAAAACTCCTCGGCAACCAAACCGCTCCCGGGACTGATTGGCCAAAAAAATTTCACGCTCTAGAGATCAGTGCCTGCTGAGACGTTTCTCAATGGCAACGTTTCACGAAAAATGAGACCGCGCACAAAAGACTCAAGTCCAGACTCGCGATGAGTTCCGACGATGAAGACACGACCTAGATGAACATAATGAGTGCGAGGAGTAATTGAGTCCAATCGCTCGTGGGAGTCCTCCGAGGGAACAGCATCGTCGCGAGCTCCGATGCATTCTCGCGGAGCATTCGATCGACCGCGTGTCGCGTCGCATTGTCTCCCTTCCCTGGAGCGTTCTCGTTGCAAAAGGAGGCCGCTTCGTCCGGCCGACTCCACGGCTCTTGCGAAATGAAGATTCCAATGCTCAGAGAACCCGGGGGATCCGCTATCGATGGAATTTCCCCAGGCTCGTATCGCATTCTTGTACCAAACTACCGACTCCGCGCTGGATCTCTGTTTCCTTTCCTAGTGAGTTGTCGTCGTGATAGCCGGCTTCCTCAAATTCAGTTTTTCTCCTTCAGGATTTTTGCCCTCGTCATCGAATGCGCAAGCCGGAGATTCGATCGGTCAATGGTTAGCGTGGCCGAATAGCGACTGAAAAGATTATTCTGGTTTGACCAGTTGTTCATCCGGATGGAGACGATCCGCCAATATCCGAAAGTTCGTTTGGACTAGAATATTGACGACCGAATGCAGGGGTAGTCTGACTGTTCGTTGGGTGGAGTGCGCAGTCGTCCGAGACTCTGATCGAACTCTGCGTAAGCTCTGCAATGATGGTGAGACTGTAAACAAAGTCGAGTCGCGAAGCTCGGTGGGTCAGGCTCTTCGGGCTGGACCAGGATTTTACGTCCCGGTAATCGTTCCCACATTGAAGCGTTCAGGACCTCAGGAGGATCAAGGCCGAGTACCTGCTCCTCCGTCAGGAAACGTAAAAAATGCTGTACCGGCAGCAGGGATCCAGCTTACGCCGCCGTCCGCAGGAGCCGCGTCTCCGCGGCACACGACCCCATGGAACGCATATTCGCACGAGAAGGTGCTAACCAATCGACTTCCCGTCAGTCTCGGCTGGGCAGAACTAGGAGCTAGAAGGGGTTCACGGGAGCCCTCCACGGCCGTCATTCAGCGTTACCCCCACGACCGAGCGGTCACCCAGGGAGGCCACAGCGTGATTCGGCCGCGATCTAGGTCGGCTCAGAGTAGTCCGAAGCAGGATCCCTGAAGCGGACCCCGCTGCGGCGCGCATGCACCTGGACCCATAAGCTCTTCCTGTACTGATTGAGAGCGTTCTTCTGACCCCGTGCACCGCTAACCGGAAGCGTCGGGCGCAGAGAAAATGTCTTGATTCGGCGGAACCGGGGTTCCCTCAAGCGGGCCAGCTCGTGGGGATTCGGTTTCGGTGTATGCATCGAGAATTGGCCGCGGTAGACGAGCCGGCCCTCCAGACCACGCTCAAAGCTGCGGCAAAGATCATCAGAATCATCAAGTCCACTCTCCCGCAAACAACAAACTCCGTTTCTATTAGAATCCATTCTTCGTGTCTCTGCTGCCGGCATTCCAGCTCATACTTCCCTCCGATCGGGCTCCGGAGTGGAGCGGGGAGCCGCTGGAGCTGAAACCTAGGCACGGTGAAGAGCAATTCGACTGCAGCCCAACCCCCACGGTGAAGGAAGGTCCGTCAGACATTCCCCATTCCTTCCTGTGGATTTGTCGTCTGCTAGTTGACGTTCTCTTCTCTCGACGACCGTCGCGGATTCGCCGTCAGCCGTCGGATTGACACAGTCGTCAGATACTCCTCCGCTCACTCTATGGAGTGGGTGAGATTGCTGGTCGAGCGGCCGCTTGCGCAACAAAAATAGAGGAGCTCTGAAGCCAGGAAAGGGAGCGGTCCTCTGAGATCTTCAATTTGATTCGCCCCAACTTCTTCGCGCTCTACGCAAAACTCCGATAAGTGAGTGATATTCGTTAACGGGAAGACTCCCGCGTCGAGAACGGAGCTCAAGATGCTTGACCAGCGTTTCTTCCCGATCCAACGCGTACAGCTTGCGCTCAGAGGCAGGCAAGCAACCGATCTGGAACTCTCATAAGGGGTAAGTGTAGGTTTGTGACACTTGCTGCGAGACCGAGCAGAGGTAGGTGCTGACAGGAGTAATTCAGGTTCAGAGCGCTCGATGATCAGTATTCGCTCATCATGACTTCCCATGGAATTTCTGCTTTCTCTCATTGCCCGCGATCATTATAACATGCCCTCATTCTCCTCGGAGAAAGACACTTCTCCCATTCGCTGAATCGGGCCGATTTCCCCCAACGTTCTTGAGGTCCTCCCAGCTGATCGCTTTCGACCGGCTGCCTCCAACGCTCTTCTTCCCTGAGGCTCCACACGACGCTCGCTGTGCCCCACGGCATTATACCTCGGGGGTCCCTCCGTGTTTTCTATCGTATCTTTTGTCTTACTTCCTTCCTCCCTTCCGCGGGGGAATACCCTATTTGCTCATGTCTCGCGCCTCATTGACGGATGTACTCCGGTGTAGGGCTCGCTGTCTGGAAAACGAGTGGCAGAATCGACATTCGATGGAGGGAAGCGTTCCCGATGTAGGTACGTCATTTCGTATCAGGACTCCTTGGGCTTTGCTCGGCGACTGGGCACATCCGATCGCGATTGCCCAACGATCCCCCAGGTTGTTTTGGACTTCATGGTTTGCTCTAGCCGATACGAACGACTCATCCCGCTCAGCGTCATCGATGTTAGGTGGAACACCCGGGCGCTTTGCCGAAATCTCGGTTCTCGACTCAGTTGGCATTGGGTCCGGTCGGCATTGTCTCCTGGAAACGCACAATACTTCAGTCCCTCCATCAGAGAAGAACATGGTGCTCCGATGGGGAGCTGAGCGCGGTAAATCTGATCGCTAGAGAGCTCCGCGTTTACCTGCAACAATCACTTAGTTAGAGTGCTGGCGGATACAGTCATCGATTATCGACTCAAAGGTCGCTCGAGGCTGAATCAGAGTATCACTGCCCGTACTCAGAGTCGAACGATACATCGCTGGGCATGATATGAATATCTCTCTCACACACGTGGGGGGCCGCTGAAAGGAGGGATCGTGGTGTCCGGCATCCCTGCCGGGGGGAAGACAGGGGGGGCGCACGCTAAGTGAGAAAATCGCGTCTGGGCTCTCAAGGTCTCGGGAGTCAAATTGCTGCGTACTCATGATCCTCGATATTAAATTCCGGAGAAAATATCTTCAGGTGACGTCTAATCAAGAGGCCTCTTATCAACTCAAACCATGCGCTCCGTGAGGGGTCATCGGGCCCAGAACGCGGAATCGGCCTCGTATCTGCTGATCCGGCAAAGCAACGCACCAAGCCGCGGCAACCCTCTTCGGCGCATGAATTCGAGGCTGCGATGCGCTTTGCTGTTCTCATTGCTGATCGTGCTGACCATACTTTTTGTGAATCTTATATTCATACGTTTAGATCGACCCGACATCCTCAAACTGGTCGGTGAGTACCGGTGACCACTCCCAGCTGCGAAGCATCGCCGCCATCTGTGGACCCGTCTTGAATAAATGATCGGCAGCCCTTTGACATCGCACTATTTTTCGACTCACTCAGGTAAAAATATGCAACCTGGCGAGTTTTCCCCCTCGGAGCCAGAAGATGCAGTTTTGGAGAGACTCCACCATGGGTTCATCAAACCTGTCAAGTTACCTCAGAAAATTATTCATCTTGATCTTAAGGGCGCCCCCCTGAGCGTAAGTTGGCCATTTTCCGGCGACAAAGCTGACCAAAAATAGAGGACCGAAAATTGACCTCTCTTCTCGATGGTCTTACAGCGCCGCGGTGTTTGACTGAAGACTTCGATTCTAGGTGACCTATCTCGAGCAAATAATGCCAATACTGCAACAACTGGGGGCCACTGGATTACTGATTGAATATGAAGATATGTTCCCTTATCACGGCAAACTCGAGAACATCTCTGCGATAAACTCTTATTCGGTCAACGATATAGGCAGGATACTCGAAGCTGCGAAGGCTAACGAGCTGACAGTTATACCCTTGATTCAAACTTTCGGTCATCTCGAGGTCGCACTGAAATTGGAGGAGTTCGCCAACCTGAGAGAGGTGAGGTGACGATTCCGAGGCTGCAGTAAGAGGCTTGCGGAAGGTGAACCACGACTCCTGACACGACTCTTCCCGAACTATTCCGGTGTCTCGTCCGTCTCGTCTGCTGCATGTTCAACGCTAGCGATTCGGGTCATAATCCTATGCATTCTTCCAGGTACCCCACAATCCTCAGGCCCTTTGTCCCTCGAGGAATGCGAGCGTTCAGTTGATAACCGAAATGCTCAAGCAAGTCGCTGAATTACATCAAGGACACATTACTCACATACACATCGGAAGCGATGAGGTCTACGCTCTGGGGGAATGTGGACTGTAAGATGTTCTAACTCTCCGAGAATTTTCTGACCGAGGTTGAAGTCGCTTCAATGAGTGCAGCTCTAAGCCAAGATTGTTGTTCATTTTCGCAGATGCCTGGACCGCATGACGGATCATAACTGGATGAAAAGTGATCTATTTCTGTCGCACGTCAGCACTGTGGTCAATATCGTGCACAGCTTGGGATACCAAGCGATTATATGGGACGATATGTTCCGGAACGTCGACGAGGAAGCTCTCAAGAGCTCCCCCCTGGCGAGGCTAGTCGAAATCATGGTGTGGAACTACAGTAAGAATGTCAACCTGGTCGGTGTGTTCTCCAAGTACATGACTGCGGGCTTCCGTGGCCTGTGGATCGCCTCCGCCTTCAAGGGTGCCGTGGGTCCGAATAATCAGATGCCCGAGTACAAACTCCATCTACTCAACCATCTTTCGTGGGTCCAGCTCCTCAAACAATTCGAGGGTAGAATCCAAGTGAAGGGAATCGCCATCACGGGCTGGCAAAGGTGGGTTCATACAGTTTCTCTTCTACTATCCGAAGATTCCCGAGGAGCTCGAAGCCCCAAACCACATGCTAAATCAGATATCAGCAAATCCATGTGGTCTCATTCCAGATTCGACCACTTTGCTTCACTGTGCGAGCTCTTCCCGGTCGGCATTCCCGTACTGGCGGTTTGTCTGGCTTTTTTGCAGACAGGCAGATTAGATGATCAGGTAATTGAGGGGAAACTCCTGACATGGGAATCTCGTGACGCTGGACCGTCTGAGGAATTCGAGATTGTCGCGAAGACTCAATGAATAAGATAGCCCACCTTATTCTCCAGACTCTCGGAGGAATCAAGACAATCCTGAAATGCAATCGGAATATCAAGTTCGTTGGAGACATCCTGCCCGTTAATCCGTCCTTGTATGGGAGTCCGCCACCATTGTTCTGCGACCACCCGGGGAGTCGGGTTTTCTTCGACATCATGCGTTGGGACGAATTGAGGAAACAGGAGAAAGAAGCGCTCAAAACGAATTACATCGTGGGCTGGATGAGTCCCATGAACATCAAGTAAGTTTCGAAGTCCTGTAGAGACCCTGCTGAACTCGATGGTTCAGCTCTATCGTCAGCGAATGATCGTATTCGCAAGTCATGCATGACTTCTGATCTCCTTTCAGACACCAATTCAGCTCTCCTGACAACGTGATGCAGGGAACGCGCGACTTCTCCGAACTCATCTCACAGATATCAAAGCTTGGCGAAGTAATTTCGGAGGATCTATTGGAAGTCAGCGACAGGGCCACAGCTGAGGAATGGGTGGAGACATTCATAGAGCCGATGATAGAGCCACTGGAAAAGCTTCAGAACAGTGCGAAGCTCATGCTCGGAAAAAATCGCTGGCCCCGAAGACCTCTGTACGACAGTCGCCGACCACCGACGTGAGAAATTCCTCATTCGGATACTTCCGTCGAAGACAGTGAATCTCACGCGGGCTGGTCGGATTTTAAGCTCACAGTGCTTGCGTTGTCCAATGGACAGGTTTCGGTATCGGGAGCTATATTGTATTTTTGTATTGTCTGCGGCTCCTGTCGTAAATCGAAACCCGAGCCCGTGGACAGCTGGTCACGCGAAACGTTGCATTGTTTATTGCTTGACCGATCCGGATCGAGCCCGGACTTCCGATACATACGATAATGAATTGAAAAAAATTGTGGAAAACCGGGACGACCCACACATTTACAATTGGGTCGGAAGGCATTGTGTAGTGGCTGTCGTGTGATAACCTGTAAATATGGGTCTTGGATTTTTACCAAGTCACCAAGTCAGAAAGGAGAATAAAAAAGCAGATTCTCATGAGATTCGATTCAACTGCTCCTGATATCGTGCGCTGGGCCAAATTATCCTCGTCACGACTCCTCAATGCCGGTCGGACCATCTGGAGTCAGCTCCCGCTTCGACATTCTCTTCGATTGCCCCAAGTAGACTCCGACCTAAGGATGGGAACTTCGAACCGCGAGGCCGGAAAAAGTGGACCGACTCGACTTCCCCTAACGGTGCAAAATTAGAAACTCCGCACTCCACGGGGCATCTCGCCGAAGCCAAGGAAAAAGCTCCGCTGAAAAAGTGTACAAACAGTCTCGAATGTATTTTGCATCTCATACGAAGCTCGATGTCTGTCATGTTCGACAGCTTCAACGTCTTATACAGGTGATAGGATCCAGCTGCGACCTGCGACCGGCTGTATTGATTTCTCGGCGATCAATTGAATATCATGTCTTTGTAACTCGAGAGTAGGTAGAAAAGATTGATTCGGCAGCTTGTGGCTGATCTCACGAGCGTGAGTCGGTCGGCTCTGTCGAAGTTCGACTTCACCAACTCGAAATATTTCCCGTCACTCAATACCAGGCAGCGCAATCTGAGGCACTTGACTCTAATCGTATCAATCGCCTGGGAAAGGAAGGGGATCTCCATCAGTTTTCCTTCCTACTGTCAAGTTCCTCGGTAAATAATTTGAGTTCGCGCTATCCAGATCGAGTCGCTCATATCTCGACGGAAACCTACTTTAGAGCTCTTGTCACTGAAACGTAGCGTTTCGGAATCCCAGCCGATTTCGAGACGACGTAGATCAGGGCAGTTATTAGCGAGATTGTCGAGAATACCATCGACATGGATTTTCGCACTGATTTTCTTGCAGCAACCGGTCGGCATTCCCATGACCAGGACTCTGCAATGTCGGAAATTTAGGAAGCCGTCCGGATCAGACGGAGCCCAAAGTATCATACAGGAACCGCTCCTCCGCTTTCATTGTGTTTATGGGACTCACTTGATCTTCCTGATGATAGGTATGGTCTGAGACCAGAAACCTTCGCAGAGATGAGGAATCCCTGAAAGCACTAGACCTTGCAGTTGAGGTCCTATTAGACGGACGATTTTCGTCAACATTTCTTCAGAGATATTCTCGTTTCTATCCAGGTCCAAGGCGATCAGGTTCTTGTAGGTTCCTAGGGTGCAAAGAGCAGCAGGCTCAACTTGTGGAGATTCCGTCACTCTCTATTAATCAGGCTGAATCGATGAAATTCTCGAGTCGGGGGTTCAGATCCCATTCTCAGGGCTACCTTTCTCGATCATGCTATTGAGCACTAAATCGTTGAAGCCGTCCTGCTGACCGGCTGCGAGATACCGCAGATTCGTACAGCGAGTAACCAAATCGATGAGACATTCTGTGGAAAGATCGGTGGCGCTGACATCGACTTCTTGCAGGTTCGTTGCCTCCCAGTCTACTGCCATGAAGTTCTCGGACTTTAAACCTGTGAAGAATTGAATGAAGCATTCTCGGCCGGGGCGAGATGATCAGTTCTTCTGACTGCGAACATCAGCTTCATATCATTGGCACCAGAGACATACGGACCGGTGTGCGGAGCGATAAGTGTTTTGAGTTTCTTGCAACGGGAGAACAGAATCTTGAGCGTAGTGCCGACAACCTTATTACAGTATGGAACAGCCATCGTTTCCAACTGGATGCAGTTGGACGAGAAAGCTTCAACGTGCGAGTCGTCCACGAAAGCGATCCCGTACATGTTCACGCAGCGGAGGTTTGGTACTGCCGACTTCAGTTTATGGATATTTATGACTTCATAGATTTCTTCCTCCTCCTCTTCGACTTTCTCGTAGGTGCCTGGCGGATACGGGGATATATTTATCTGTCATTAGCTTGTCGATGCTACGAATGAGACTGGGAGCGTCCGAGGGCGCATTTGGCCGTGGTGAGAATTCCAACCGGGATCGGGCGTCCATCCAGCGAGCTCACCGATCAAGTGCAGTACTTCTAGGCTATTGATGAAATTGTATATTTTCCGCATGAATCCTTCCATGAAAATGACCTCAGAGAGACAGATACACATGACTTGGAGCTTCGTGGGGAACGCATTGAGGTCGTTGAAATCATGGAGTTGCATCGCTGTACTGAAGTCCAGCAGCATATGTGTGAGATTCGGACATTTATAGCTCAGCTCGTGGAGCACCGTGTGGGTGATCAGCTCGATTGGAAGTTCGATGTATCTAAGAGACGTCGCTGGGAAGAGGTCTACCGATTAGACTCAGAGCGATGACTGGGATGAAGAATAAAAGGCTCCGGAGGCTTCGATTCCGTAACAAAAATGCTCCCGGAGAATTAAGCACCTACACTTTTTTAAATATCTTACAGAATCTGACGGAAATGAGTTGCAGAAGGGTCTCGACGTTTTTGATGTGTAGACCGGAAATCTCAGGCCTGAGGGACACCTGTGACCAGAGCCGTGGATCACAGGAAACTTGTCTCCACTTACGGCAAACTTTCGCTAAGCGACCCACTTCTCGGGACGGAAGATACTGGAAAATGTTCAGGAGGACCTTTTCTGGAAGTTTGTCGATCGTCTGGAAGGAGCCAACAATGGAACATTCGGTCAGCGCTTATAGATGGCAGACAACGGATCTTGATGCTGCCTACAACATCGAACACGAGCAACAGCGGAAATTATTCAGTGAAGTCAGAATTTCGGTCATACGAATGCCCAATCACGAGCACGCAAGAGAAAAACCAGGACGGGTCTTGCTAATCTGCTACGAACGCCTTGTGCTATTGTTCACCGATATGGTAGAAATTGAGATCGTCGGCGCACCGCGCAGCTGAGAAATGCATTATATGGTCCTTTGTTGCTCGGATTTTCGAACACGAGCGGAAATTCGAGCGAAGAAGGAAATCGAACGTACCGCAGCACTCCTGGGCCTTTGTGCGGAATCTTTGCCCTCCTTGCCGCCCTCTTTGAGGTTGGCAATGGTCGCCGAAGACACCTCGGTCGGGAGACCGGACCACATGATCGGGCGCTTAGGTCACTCCGGGAATTTTCCACTGATCGATCGACGCACACAAAAATCCAAGAGAATCCGAGGTGGCATCTAAGCCATCTTAACGTCTTGGGACATGGTGCTGATGGTGGCCTTAAGGACCTAAGTAGTTCCTTCGCTATTTTTAGAAGGTTTCGTTCCCCGAGCAGGGGACCCGAAAGCCTCTGCTCGTCCCGGTGTCAAGCATCGTGGCAAGGAGGTCTCGGAGAGGAAACATGGTGAGGGTCGCGGTAGAGTTCTGACTGAGCTCGACAGAAATCTTCATTGTGAGTCTTTATAGGAGATCTGAATGGGTATGAAGGGCTCTCCCAAGACGCGTGCTACGAAAGCCGCGGCATACCGAACGAGTCAGCGCACTGCTCGAGTGACTGATAGAGTCTCTTCATTCGAGATGGGTAAAAAATAGAAAAAAGCTCAGCGACAAGCAATCGATCAAATAAACAGACAAACAAACAAAGAAACAAGAAGAGACGGAGATCCAGACAAATAAACAGCGCATGGGGCGCTCTGACAAGAGGGGTGTTCCGGGACTAACCAACCGTTTGGGGATGTTTTCGGGTCGACTGGCTTGTCAGTTCATCTGCGTGGATCGCATCAAGGTGGAGGTCGAAATTCTTCCTCTCGATGATTGTGTTGATCGTGTCCCTCATCGGATCCCTGTGCGGGATGAAGTCCACGAACTCGATCTCGTTCAAAGACTGGGGGTAAAACGGCTCTTTCAGGATCCAGTTATAGATGACCAATCATTTCTGCTAGTGATTTTTGGGATGGTCGTCGGAGCCGCGTCGAATCCGGTGGGATTCGTCCGCCGGGAATAGTGTTCACGAGCCATAACTCCCAAGCGACGAATTCTCTGTTCTTAGAACTCTCATATGATTCGGTCGAAGGACTCGACCTACGTACCTTCCGCTTATGCAAATTATGCAGAAAAACTATGTCCTTTATAGACGGTATATCCATGGCTCTCCTGGCTTCGCGTTTCTTGTCTTTACTTATCCCTGTGGGATAATTTCAAACGTGGAACTTACATGCATTTCGACGAGTGTCAGGAGGGAAGGCCCGAAAGAGGAATAGAGGAAGCGGAATGAGAGTCAAGTTGAAGTTCTATAGACACGAGTAGGGCAGAAAAGACACATCACGGCTGAAGCAAGGGTTCCAACGTTACGTGCCCGCACCGCTGCTCTCTCAGAATCAACTGGAAGCGCGCCGTAGACATTCCGCTAGAGGCAGAGCCGCGGCTCAGAACAATAATATTTAGATTTCTATCTTTCTCAAGCTGCAGACAGGCGACTCTCTTTGATTTCTTCGATTCGAATGGGAAGCTTCATCTTAGAGTAGACTCGAAAGGGGGAGAACTCATCGACACGGCATCGGCCCACGACATCGGGACCTTCCTCACGAGTCTTCACTTTCGTCACAGTCAGGGAAGCGAGCGCAGAATCGCGGGAGGATCACAGCTGCGCTCCCGCGGAGGCCCAAAGATCCCACTCCTCCCCATAAATGAAACTCATTTTTCTCCCTCATATCATGAAACGGAAGGGATCTTCCTGAGCTCAGTGCGCGCGAGCCTTCTCGTTGTTCATACACGATCTTGTGGAGAGCGGCGCCGGCGTTTTGATCGATAGACCAGCTTACGACCCATTGATCCTGCATTCGATATTCTCACCTCCAGTCTCTCTCCGGGTCTAGAACATCGTATCGAGTAAAAAGTATAATTCTGGTGTGACCGCAAGACTTCGATCTGACTAAGGAGCAAAAACGACATGAACATGATGCATATTTGTCATGAAGCGCCATGTTTTATTGAGCTTCTGTGCGCTTTGATGAGTTGTTTCACGGAGGTCACACTTCTTCGTTTGACGAAAATGCGGTACTCGAGTTCTTGAGGGCTCAGTGCAGTCTGTCGATAGTTCAAAGCCTCCCCGGCGAGACATTTCAGTGACGGGACTGATCTCAGATCGGTGTCTTCACCTTCCTGTGCGCAACAATTCAAAGATCGCGCAAGTTCCGTCATATCCGAGGGAATATCCACCGAAGAATTCAGCATGTCGATGACGGGGCGATTGTTCCAGGCCATATGCCGCACGAAGGCTCCCCGTCGCAGGAGGGAGTCAATCAGCCGTACCTCGTGTATTGAGTCCTGTGGTGTCCAGAATTCATTTCGTTGACGCACCTCGAGCGCTGCGACAATCGCGCACAAGGCGGCTCCAAGCTCGTCGGGATGCCTTATCTCGTTCAGCTGTGCTTCTGGATTGTCTTGATGAGTAGTGCATCTCAACAGCTCGCTGAGATGCGCTTGAACTGTTTCGTTGCTGGGAGCAGATGGAGTTTGACAAAGGTCTGAGGCGAGCTTCACATAAGCTCCGAAGCTCAAATCCGCCTGCCTCGGTGACTTTGGCGGGGGGAACTCGAAACCTAGGCGCAGGGGTTTCTCGACGAATTCCGCGAAATCGGATCCGGACTTCGAACGCACGTCGGCTGCTCGGGCGAATTTCGTGAGAACTGTTTGTATCACTGCCCGCTCGACAGCGGAAGGCTCCGTGATCTTCTTCAGGAACGTAGACATTGTCTCGAACGCAGCGCCCAAGTGCTCCAAAGGTCTTGCCGCGATGAAATTCTCTGCGGATCCGAATCTGCGGTATCCGACTCCGGGCTGTCGACTGTCCAATTCTGGCGAGCGAAGGAGCTCATCGAGAAGAGCAGCGCTCTCGGCGATTCGCATATCGGAAACTGAAGCTGCCCACAGCAACTCACGGGCTTCTCTCCTAGCTTGTGAATCTGTACAGAGCTCCGAAAAAACTTCGAAAATAGGCTTCCGCCGTCTAGTAGCTGCCTCTCTGAAGGGATCCAGCCTTGCTCCAGGCTGCACAAAGCGTGCTCCATATGACACGAGCAGGCACACCGCCCCGACGACCATTCTAGTTTGCGTGTCGAGATTCGTTCGGATCAGGCACTGCAGCGGCGATACGCCGTCCGTCTCCCCGTTCGGGTCCGAACCTCGCCGGAGGAGGAGTTCTATGACTTCAGGTTCTGGTGCAAGCGAACCGTCCGAATCTACGTGTTGCAAAGCGCTCATCAAGGCTACTGGATTCCTGGCGTCGATCAAACCGATGTCAAGCAGACCCTTAATCTGTTGAGCGGTCATGAAGCGCAGTGATTGAATCAGAATTCCTTGAACTATCCCGGTCGAGTCGATCCTGTTTTCTCTGTTTTGCAGCCCCGCGACCAATGCGTCGATCACTGCTTGCAAGGGTCTCCGATCTGTCGCGAGACACTCCCTAATGAACAGGATCCTCTCCTCGAACCCTCCACCTTGCCATAGATACACAGGAGATTCTACGCCTTCACATGAGAGATCTTCAGAACAGCTTTCCTCTCGACGGAATTCAAAGCAATCATCAAGCATGAACTCCAAATCTAGATAATCGCAAGACATCACTTCCATCGATCACTCCGGTGCGACTACTCTAGGCGAAGCGTCCGGAGAAAGCGCTGCGAGCTGCTCTATTTCCAGCACATCTATCCGCTCTCCACTCTCGATCCCTACTAAAATTATTGTAGTACCAGTGCGAACCGGTCCTCGGAAGCGCAGGTATTCGCTAATCGCAAACATCGACCTTTGAGCCGAGGAAAGTATCTTTTCTGTGGAAGCCCACTGCGAGAAGGACACTGACCGACTTTCCCAGGATGGCGTTGCTAGCCGACACGTGAACATCCTCTGTACTGCTCCGTGATATCAGTGCAGGGCGACCGACTGAGATCGAGGGGACTCCAACATTCGGTATGCAACGATGAGAGTCCCGGAACAAACCAATTCATTCCCCAGCGGATCTACGACATGAGGACGCATCCGGGTCAGCAACGGCTCCCGAAATCTGATAGTATCGCTTTTGCCTAAACAATCAAAATATACTGGTCACGCTGACCATCCTTACAAAAGAAACCATCTTCATGAGATGACTCTCCCGTCGTGATCGCAACGGCGTGTTCGAGATCGCGGCTGTGGGGAGTGTACATGCTCTGCAGAGCCTCAGTAGGGAACCTTCAGGACAGCAAATTCCCCGCGCCGGCGGCCGGGTCCATCAACCGGTTGTCGTCGAATCCCGGAGGGTGAATCTTTTCCCGATTCTTCCCACATGGGAGCCCTCAAACTATCCGAACTATTGAACTTTTCTTTTCGTTCTGTTTTTTCCCCCCAAAACTCTACAAAGTGTCGACCAGTAGAGTTCAGAAATCTTCTGAGCACACGTTCAACTGACTCCAAACCGATACTTTCATTTCTCGATCGAGTCGTACAGGTGGAATCACACGAGTAAGTCACACGTAACCCAAGTCGCGTCCGATCCCCAGAATAATAATGCAGCCTTCGAGATAATCCCCTGCTTAGGATCTCACGACCTTCATGTTGTGAAGAATGAAAGCTTCGTGAAGTTCAATTAAGAACAACTCCACCCAGATCGTGGACTTCACTCGTACTTGACACTAGGCCAAAAATCGCGGAGCCGACAGAATGCGTCGAGCTTGCGTCGGAAGCACAGCTATGTTCGGTTGGTTCTCGAGGAGGAAATCTCTCCCGGCCGAAATCCCTCCTGAAGGTGAGCTCGGCTCCTGGTTTCGAGGCTCTCCAAGAAGCCCCAAGTGAGATGAGAAATTCGAATGGAAGACCGAGTTTCGTGCGATGTTTAATTATTCCCGACGACTCTTGATGACAGCGGGGCGGGGAAATTCTAGTTCCAGAGGAGCCTCCGAAGAGACAGATCACATCGAAAATCAATTCGCTCGAGAATGTGAGGTACCGCTCCAGGAAAGGCAGTTTCAAGGTGAGTCGACGGTGAAGAAATCTGCCCGATGCTTTCACTTCGAAAAACCCGCGAGAATCTTCCTGGATGAAGGATAGTCCGATCAAAGGATGTCTTAATTCCCTCATTGCATTAGTTATGTCCTCTTTCACGATTTTCTGACTCTCGGGGCCCTGCCCTAATCTCGGGAGAAACAGACCGAAGAGCGAAAAAATAATTTCCGTCCACGATAGCTGCCGAAAGGGTCTCTCCCGTATCGATTGGATGTTCCCGCTAAGGTAGGCTCCTTGTCAAACCTCAACCACAAGCCCCGTACAAGCAAGGTGAGTGGTTCGTTCAGAATTGCTCCTTCACTACGCTCCTTCGTAAGAGCCGTAAATCCTCTCAGAGAACACAGTTACCCTTTTTCTTCAGGTGAGAATATTCTCGGAGAGGCTCGACTTTCGCACAAACGCCTTCTCGAAAATCGCCGAGACCATACACAGTAGCCGCACCCCCACTCCGGTATCTGACAAACGAGGAAGCATTGTCGAAATGTTAATCAACAGCATAAAGTTCAGGGTCGGCGTACAGGTACATCACAATGCGCCATGCAGTGAGGATTCATGGCTTCCTAGCATTTTGTGGAAGCCTGTACACCGACTAGGTTTGCGTTCCATTGCACGTTCTCAGAGGCGTCGTTCTTCAGAGCTTGTCGGGTCAAAACGTCCGTGGGGAAACCGCGAAGGGAAGAGCCGAAGTCTTCCCAAGTGAAAAAGGCGCTCGAGGGGACGGAACCGACTCGATCAAGGCGCAACGGAGGCAGGACGAGATACCAGCTCTCATCGTTTCTCAGGACACGAGCGTTCCAGGAGAAGCGAACACCGATATGGTGAGGCCGCCTGAGCTCCTGTTTAGATAGTCCTAATTCGAGTCGCCAATCGTCCGGATTTATGTCTTCCTCGGCGAAGGCTCGTGTGGGAGTGGAGAGTTCCCTACTGATACAGCCATGCATACCTCCAGGACACGGCGGCAAAAGATCAGAGTGCGTCTGAGGCGATTACCGTTGGAGAGCAAAGCGAATCATCGCCGACAGCTGAGAAGGATGCGCAGCTGAACGATCCATATGAGTCCACGAGCGACAAGTCAGAAGATGAACTCCGAATTCCGTCCGAATCATCGATACAAACTTCTGCCGATGTTCAACAGAAACCTGCCGATCGCGGTCGTTGGCGGATTTAGTATAGTAATTTTCTCTAAAAGATGAAGCGGTGTCCCCCTGAATCCTGCGAGACCTACGCGAGATGGATGGTTGGGCTCGAAATCGGATTGGGAGACTCACGGCGTCTTTCAGCTAGCTCGATAATTTTCTGTTCATTCTAAATGACAAAATCTCGAATCCGAGATGCGTATCTGTCGATTGTTTATTTTCGTTTGCATTCGGAATAGACAACTCATCCGACCGGTAAATGGGATTTCAAGATCACAGAAACTCATCGATGTCAACGATGGAAATGAAGGAATTTCACAAATATCCGTTCGTTTCATCAACCGATAGGCTCTTTTCCTCTGCAGGGCTCTGATCCTCAAGTGCTCCCAGACTGAGCTTGTATGTATACGTGAAGGGACACTGAACATATATAACACCATAATCGCTTCGAGACAGGAGTGCGGAACCAATGAAACATCATCGCTGGAGGAAGCGTTCATTTGGGCAGGGACACAGGCTTCCCGGATATCGACGCAACAGTATCACATGCACGCCCAGACTCACACGGCAAAGGCTCGATGACTTTTCAGATAAATTTTTATGCATTACGTAAAACATGTTACGCACTCGTGCAGCCCGGCTAGCGGGCACTCGTTCCTCTTCTCCCATTTTGCATAAGTTTCGATGAGAGTGCGTCTAGCACGGAAATATGTGCGCTCTCATCGAGCGGTCGACACGTTACGATACTGGAACCATCACGGCTACAGTGGCGGAGGAATGATTTTCGCGGAAACTTCGGCGCAGCTGCTGCTTTTCAGTTGAACACATCCTGTATGTCTAGCAGAGCCTTCCGGATGCGTTCGGCCATTCGAAGGGAGTTCTGTGGGTGGAGCAAGGGTTCATGTGGCTTCTCAATCTCTCGCGAACATTGGAATTCGAATTCTTCAGGCCAAGTAGAGTCATATAGCATGAACTATGGCATCAAGTTTCTCGAAGTCTTCCCCTACCGTGTACGGAGAACAACGCCGGCTGCTAACATGGAAGAAGAAATCACTCCCACCCACAAGCATGTAACTAACACCATAACCATCTGTAGCTACAGGTCCGAATCCACCTCCTGCGGAACGCAAAGATCGTTCTTTTTGATGGTATTCATTCATGAGCACAATTCAGGCGACCGAGAGACAATCATCGGCAGTATAATTACCGGCGGAGATGAATTCAGGTTGCAAGTCGAAGTCCCAATATCCTGACTGATTACAAGAAGTTTGTGAGGTCGACAGCCGCCAAGGTTCCGCCAGGACTTCTCTCAGGAATGGGGACTCCAATTCGAGGTACTTCGATGTCAAGTAGAGACAGAAGAGATGTCGGTCAATTCCCTCGCCTTTCATCGCTCGTTGAATCGCTCTGACAAGATAAGAGAGAAGTAAATCAGGGAACTGCTCCGACGCATCGCTGAATAGCATCCCGAGCTCCAAATGAAGACGTTGCCGTCGGAGACGCTCACTTGACGTGTTCGTCGCATGCGGTTCGCAGCTTCTCTCGTTTCTCATCATTGCAGAGATCGGGATCTTCCATGGAGCGGACGAACTCACAAGACCAGCGATTTACCGGTCGCACCGTCTCAGTTCTGCCTTCTCGGAAGAGTCGAGTCATCGCAGCCTCGTAGGTCAGACTGAACTTGCCTGGGGACCGGGTAGATACCGATATGAAGATCCATAGTATTTCGACTTTCGAAATTTGGTTCCGTATGGTCGCGGACAGGCGCTTACCCATATCGCGGAAGTACGCAAGTTGTATGGCCATTTGCAAGTACGCATCAGGCGAGAGGTTCTGTCGTTTGATGAAGGCTTTACCGTATACTTGGAACCTCGTAAGATGCAGATCTAAATCCTCCAACAATGAAGTGGCCTGAAAGCAGCAGCGACGTCATTTCGAAGGACCGACGATTCGAGGCTCGCAAGGAGGCGAAAGATCATTGGGACGTCATCGGAGAGCCAGGGGACTGGTCGCATATTCACCTTTGTTACGCTTAGTTTTATCTGGTTACTGCAGGCGCTGGATATGTTGAATCTTATTCGGTACGGCGGAGGTATACCCGGAGTCTAAAAATAGAATGTCGTCGAATCGAAGCGCGAAATGCAGTGAATTCGTACAGATGGTCTGATTGATCATTATCATCATTATGATACTATCGATCTGCTCACCTTCGCTGTTTGCAGATAGTCGAAAGCGTTACCGTTTTCATCATAACGGAGAACGCATCGATCCTGTAGATGAAGACGAATTTCCTCTTCGTTAAGAGATCGTCCGTTCTCCGTGATACTTTTGACAGCATCACCAATTATTATTCTCAGGAGATATCAATATACGTACGTGATGAGACACCGTTTCCCACAGGTGACCCATGACGGGCGCGTCTGCCCATGAATGTTCGGCATTGAAACCGGCTTTACCGTTAGCTCCGATAATGATATTGAAGGACTTGTCGAACCTGGAAACCGCGGGATGTTTTGCATCAATTATTTCTCAAGGGATAATTTTCGATCGAGTCGGACTTTTTTCAGCTCTGTCCTCACCATCGATCATATCCTTTCCCGTGGAGCAAACTCTTCGCATAGGTATTCAGCTTTGACGGATCGTTGGGGTCGAAGCCGTATGATTCGTCATCTAGAACAACTATGAACGCGGCAGTCTCGATCAGATCCAGCGAGAGCCTGTAAAATAGTTTGGGAATGGTACGCGATACAAGTCACTGAATTACGCGACGAACATGCGAGACTCGATGGCTGAAAGTCGCACGATTTATTACGCCTGGAGAAGTTTTCGGAACAGACCTGTTCAGTCCCAGACGGAAACAGTTGGCCCGAACTTCTGCCCACGTCCTACGATCACCCGCCGTGAGGGCTCCTAGACATTGCTCTCCCTCGGTTTCACCCGTGTCTTGAAGTATTCTGCAAGGGTTTCCTTCCTTCTTACAGAGCGATATTTTTTAAAATAAAATGAGCTTCTCCGCGGCACTCTCGTCATAATCCACAGTCCCCTCGGAAGTCTGTTCAATGTGTCCGCCGAATCGGAGGAAGAATTTGCGAGATAAATACTAGGGGAGCAACGACCCTGCTCCGGCATGTACCTCTCAAACTGAACCTGCAGTTCGCCTGGCGTTAGGAGTCTGGCGTGATGGTGAGTTAATACTTTGAAAAACCGCCCTCTATGCATCACACAAATGTGCTCTGAGTCCACGAGATGCTCCAATTTGTCCGTTTCAAAACCTGGGACCCTCGTCGTGTTGAACATCCTTTCATACTGATGACTGCACAATGGCACGATGCCCGCTAGCATGATTGGCTGAAGCAACTGCACGTCAATCGCCCGCCGGAATATGAGGGCTGCATGAGTCTGGAAAACGAATATAAATCGGAGCTTCTCGTCTCATTTCTTCGCTTGATGAGCAATACGGTAAGAGATGAGCGTATGCTCGCGGGGAGACGGAAATCGAACTCACTAGGTTCCCGGCTCGAGCAGCTTGATTCGTTGTGACTGAGGCCAGGAGGGGGTCCAAACAATAGAAGTTCGAATACGTCTGGAATATTGATAACATGCGTCTGAATTATTCGTGCTCGTCCGATAGATTCTACTCATACCTCCATTCTACAGCAGAAACTCACCATTAACGGACCCCTTCCCTTCAAGTATACGAATTCTTCCCACCAATCAGAGACGTAGTTTGACGCCCACCAAGACTTCAGGTACAGATAGCTGCCGGAGTAAATGGTCAATTTTAGTTGGCGGGAACATCCATCGCTCGTCTCCGGCTTCTGACCCATATCCGTACATGAACCAGATTATTCGAAGTTCTTCTCTGCTGAAGCAGTTCCTCGATCCACGCCTCCGCCCGATTAGATTGATGGAATTGCCCAGTGACTCACCGTTGTAATTTCGGAGCGATGGTATTTTTAAATTCTTCGGCGAGCTTCTCGAGTCGGTCATACTCTTGCTGTGATACCAGGGGCTCGACAGACGCGAGATATCTGCGGAGGAGCTCCGTGCGATTAGTTCCGGGCCGGAGATGGGGGTCGTTTACCATTTCATGAACATATTTGATATAGGAACACTCATAGTGCATCGAAACGAACCTCTCCATTGTGTGCTCTACTCGGGGCACCGGCAGCTTGGGGAGACATCCTTGATACGAGAACAAGCGAGGCGAAGAGCCCGACAAAAGCTTGACGCCGGCCGACCACAACTGTGTGATAAGAGAAACTCTCTCACCTGGAATCATCGAATTTTAAGCGCTAGAAGATCTCGTGAACGCCAGACCAGACCGTGTGTGTGCAATTCAGAATCTTCTGACCTCCTACAAGCCGTTACAGACCTCTTTTCTCGTCCATCCATCCTTTGTACTGGAATAAAATCTTCAGAGCATATTTCCGAAGTCCACTGCAAACAATCCAAACGCATCCTCCGTAAATCTGAGGAAAATAGTTGAATTATCACCACCAGTTCCCTATGTTGTGAATCACGGTCGAAGTCGAGCCGGATGCGCCAGAAGATATATGCGATATCGGAAGACTTATTTTTCTATCGCGGTCCTATCGCTATTATACGATCTCTGTGGGACTCACGCATGGTTTCGCTAGGAGAACCAAACGCAAAATAACGCTCTGAACGGAAAGACGGAGAATACGAATACGCTCACCAGAGTTGCGACAGATCTCCTGAACGTGCCACTTCGCGAAGGAACCCCGACGAAATGTGCAATTACTGGTATCGCACCGAATGAGGGGTCAACGTGACTCGCGGTTTGGATTCCTTTGAAAATAATAAGTAGAATTCTCAGGATTCTATTGGGCTCGTAATCTCGTAATCAGTCAAAATTAAAATGTTCGCGGCACGGAGGTCTTGGGAAGGGAATCCCGCCAAGAACTTGAGTCGAACCCACCTGTGAGAAGCGCGAGTATGACCCAGAGCGAGGAAGCTGTTTGAGGGTAGAAACCGTTGCGAACATTGTTGTTGAACCTCAGAATCCGCTTCTTCCACGAACGCAGTCCTGACCGCCAGACGATCTCTAGCAACTGGAAGGGGTTACAAGACGTTGCGGTGAGCTCGGATGCACGCATAGTGCCTTTTCACTCCGATTCGACGACCACTATCAAGCGCTCTCCGTGAGAAACGACTATTCAGCCAAATAGGGTACTAGAACACTGGTTGAGGTCTTCTCCGATGGATGAATACGACCCGCTCTGCCGCACAAAGAATCCGCGACAAAATCTACTTATCAGCCTTAACTGATCGGGGACTGACCTCTCGGTTGTAGTTCAAATTTACGCCCCTGTGCGTGATCGAGAAGCTGAACGCAACCGCCGAATGAGCCTCCGCCATCGCGAAGTCGTCAGACGGCCCCTTCGGCCAGAGATTCCGCCCGCTCCGCTTCCGAGGGCGCTACCTGGAAATGTATTCGTTAGATGTAAACACGATACCAGAGGCCCGAATTGAGCTCCTCCACGCAGTTCCCTTCTCGGGTGATCGTCCCGCGGCCTCATGTTCGCCAATCGAAAATAAATTGGAAGTGTGCGATTCTGCTAAAGTTTGAGTCAATGTTACTTTTCCGTTCCATCCCAAAATGAGCCGCCGGATTAGGCCGAGTGCCATCTGAAGCGAAGGAGTTCTTCCGGATAATAATCATGGCTCACACATAAATGGAGTGGGAACGAATCACGGACCGCCGAAGAGTTCAGGGGAGAAGCTGCCGATTTCATTCAGCCTGGTGAATCGCCGAAGGCATGTTAGAAAGTCGCAGCGCACGCTTCACCCGCCCGAAGCGGGTCAAGTTCACTGCGAAGCCGCGGATTGTGGGAGTTCACACCCTCTGTGACTTGATCCGATTCCTGGCGCCGAACACGTCGGAGCGAGCGCCCGCCGAGGTCTGAGAGCCAACCGCGAATCTCCAACCTCAGAACTGATCTGCGCGCAGGATTTCGGCCATGGTTTCTGGTTTCGATCACGACGCAGCGTCCTTCAGCACAGCACATTCGATGCCGACCCCGATCCCGAAAGCGCCAATTCTGGACGGCTCCGAAGAGCTCGGGACGGGGCTGGTCATCACATCGGCAAGGCATGAATTGAGGAAACCATAGAATGACAGGTGAAGCCTCCAGCGAACAGCTTGTGTAAACATGAGAATATGGAGTCGCTCGATTTCAGGAGTCAGCGGGCGCAAGTTCTCAGCTCAAAGTTTCACTGCGGAAACAATGGTACCCTCACGGCCGCATTTAAACGAGCACCAAAATCACGTACCGAATAGTTTCCTCACGGTTTTATGGTGTCCGTCTACAGCGCGTCCAACCTCCTCATAGCTGTCGCTAGGGTTCTTATCCGGAGCACAGATTACCTCAACGAAGTCACTGGGAGGAACACTTGAACATGACAATGTGGAACTCAGCTGCATTCATATCAGCTGACCGAACGGAGTGTCTGTGTGTGTCGTCGTCGTCGGAATGCGCCTGCCTGATAGAGCAACAGCGGCGGCGGAGCCAGCAGTGGCTGCCGCAGCGGCAGCCGACGCGGACAAACATCCAGACACTGCGATCGGAGTCGGGGCGGCTCTGGGTCGTAACAAGATTCGCGATATTCCCCCGGGAAAGGAAGACGAGAGACGGCAGGACTGTGGTCCCGCCGTTGACGGAACGCTCTGTCCACCGATACTGGACGCCGATGTTGGAGGTGACGATAGAAGACCTTATGAAGTTTTGGGAATGATGTTGATGATTTATGATCGTTATCAACGATTCGCTCGACAGACCCTGGTCCCACTCGATCGACGTAAGAAAGAAATCTCTTCGGGGTTTCTCACACTCTGAAAGCAGGTGCTGAGTTTCCTGCCGCTTCGCCATCACTCACTCTCGATCCCGCTCAGCATCTGAATCATGTGGTGATAGCCTGCGAGGTATTTGAAAGCATCTCCTGTGCTGGGATCTAAAGGAATGCCTGCGATCCGAGTCCTATTTCGGGACGGATTCTGTCGATAGGATTGCGACCCGTTCGACCTCTTCCTCGTCAGGAAAGGATCGCTGAGGGCTCTGCCGGGTAGGATCAGTAGTGATCGAAAGGAAGGGAGAAAGTGAAGTCAAGTTCGCCGTTTATTCGGCCCTATCTATTGATATGGCGCTGCGTCGAGTGACTCGAAATCCATGAATGATGATCATTCATGTGAATCATGAAAGCCCGGGTAGTCTCCCTTCGCGGGAGACTCACCGTCCGATAATGTCGAGTCTCCGACACTCATTGCTTATGGAAAGCGAGTGACGCCGAAGATTGGCAGATCCAGCACGAAATCCGAACGTCTCCGAGTTCCAGAATCAGCGTGGCTTGCCGAACTCTTCTGTCCCTTTCAGCCTCACTCAGACCTAGATAAAGAATTCTCACAATCCAAGCTCCGAGATCCAATGGGAAAGGCCCACAACCAGCCGAATTCCCCTAATTCACCCGAGGGTGTTTGTCCCGGTGAGAACAATTTCCGAACATCGGTCAGGCATTGAGATATCCCGTGAGCGGGACTCTGCGAGTTCCTCATTTGCGTCCCGCCTTCCCGCGTAATTCATCGCAAGCCACTCGGGGTCTGATATTCTCGTGGCTTGAAACCCGTTTCAAGCCCCAATCAACGGACTTGACGCGGTTCTTCCCGGTCCCCTTCTTGGTTTCGTGTGTTGTGGTTGTAATGAGAAGCCTTGACACGCGAATTGCCCCGTCGAACTCTCGCGGTTTCCCGGTTCTCAGTGTATTCTAGCCGTGGACTTGATGAGAATTGGCGTCGCCCAGAAACTTTTCGATGCCTCAGCGGCATCTCGTGACCCGTGACTCATTGTCAGCCTCATTCAGATCTCTATAGATCCTTCGCAGCAGGTTCAACTCGGGAGATTCGTCACAAAACATGGAAGCGCTGAAATATTTCTCTCTTGCCGCTGAATTCATCTGGCCGCGCTTTCTCACCCGGAGTGCTCGCTGTCTCTGGGTGTGGGATGGGGCCGGTACATACGGAAACCCCGGCGCGTGATTTCCGAAGGAGATTAAAGCTTGAGTGTTTCCAGGGGCTTCCGAGTTGTTGAGCTTCCGAGTGTTTCCAGGAGTTTTCCCCTGGGAGGTTTTCTATCGAATGTTTCGCCATTCACAGGGACCGGGCTCCTCGACATGCGCTGACTCAAAGATCATGTCCGTGAATATTTCGATAAACGGGCAGTCTCTAATGAACGAGAATTTTCGAGGGTGTATGTTCAGATTATCGAGTCGCGTCCGACAATCTCTCCCGCGGCTCGTTCGTGTGAATTATACTGTACTGAAGGCATTCATTTGATTGGCTCAATTTAGTTTGCCAGAACGAGAGACCGGACTCGATTCCTGGATGGTCGACGGAAGCAATAGACGGGCAGTCTTTGATGAGCGGGCAGCTTTCGCTGGGTCGATAAGTAAACGGGCAATCAGAATATTCACGGTGATTGGGATCCCTCTGTGACGGCGGCTCCTTCGAAGTTATTACATCGACGGCGACTCCCTCGATAGTTTCCGACGCCCCGAGCCGCTCCCCATCGCATTGTTTGCCGAGACTCCCCTCATCGACCTACGACGTCCGACCAGTGGCATCATGGTTCGATCATGTAACTAGACTGCATCTGCTGTGAGTTGTGACGTCAAAACATTTATTTGGAAACAAATTTTTCGCGGAAGCCTCGATAACAGACATCCTAATGAGTCATTCACCACCGGTGTCTTGGTCCCTCGGAAACGTCGTCAGGTCGATCCAAAGCTCCGCAGATCGGAGAAATTCATAGTTGAAGGCACAGAGACGTTTCCGAGACGCTCCCTAACGAGAGATTCGGGAGGTCGTGGGCTTCGGGCCACTCAATATCACATTGAAATTGGCACTTCGGTCATTTCCTGATAATCTCAACTAACGCATTTTTCAAAAACGGCATCGGGATGCCCAGTATACACAACCATCGGAGCTCGGGCAACTAGTTCTGAGATTAGCATATCTTCCTTAAAATAAAGACTCCACAGCCTGGCTTCATCCAAATTGCTCGCAGGCGAACTTCCCATAGTACAAAATTGTTCCTTGGTATAATTCTTTGGCAAGGTGTGCTTGTTAATCGAACCGATCGCTAGCTCCGGCAATGGGATATGAGATAAAACAGAGTCCAATTGGGTATCGCGACATGCGGGTCCGATGTACGTTAAAAGATTTCTGGTTTTGGATTCGTTCCGCACACGTCATTCAACTCTTAAGGCCACATTTACGCTCGAGTCGCTAGAGCACTGTTTGTTGGCGCGTGAGCATCTGTCGCGCAGTGATGATGATTCCTATTCATGGAAACCATATTCTTCCGATTTTATACAGCAAATAGGCTCTAAAACGGTCTCAAAATGCTTCGCGACTAGAAGTAGGCGATGTCTGATAAAGATATATACATACCTAGAATCTCTTCGTCTCATTCCCTGAGCTCCCGATCTCCGAGTTATAGTGTAAAATAACAGGCGGTGCTGTAATCTGGTTTGGCATTGATCAGCGCTCGCTGCACTCCCTCGAGCTAAAGTATTTAGTTTTGATGTCGGATCTCTATTGCTGTACACTGAAAGATTCGAAATTACGAATCAAAGCCCCGACGCTGGCTCCCATGTTGACCAAAAATATTTTCATAATATTGTACACCTGCTGCTCCGAGCGATCACCCTTCCCTGTGAGCACATTGATCATCGACGCTCGAGTGGGAGCCGCGTGGACGCAAACCTGCAAACAAGTTTTTCATGGTCGTATCGCTCGATCAATTAAGGGTACGGAGCATGTGTTTTCTACGGAAGTTCATTGTGATCTCTAAATTGTGATGGAGAGCAACAAGAGAGCTCGACATGGAACGCTTCGGATAGAGATCGTTCCCTATGGCTGGCCGCGATAATCGCGGTGATCCATCGCTTCTGATTTAGCAATGATTCGAGCGATCGATGTCGTCACCTAGTTTTCCCCAAGTTCTCCATAGCTCTCCTAGGCGGGAGGAATCGGGAATCGCCTCCTATAGACATTGATGGAAAATCATCGTTTGCTAGCAGAAATTCCCTCACCTGGAACAGCTTTTGAGCGATTACGTTGTGGTGCTTCTTCAATTTGAGCTCGTAGGCTTCCCGGAAGAGTGGTTTCAGATCCTCGCAGGTCATGTTTTCCTGGAACGAGGAAAACTCTCGATTCCTCCCATTATGTAGAAGGACTATCTCCACCGATCGGCGGGCGGGCTCTCAATGAATACCAACCTCTAAGACGAACTTGCTGAGGAAGTGATGGATGAAATCCATGATTCTTTTCAGCCACGTCAAGGATATCGCCGCTTCAACGCGTTTCTTCTTCTCTTTATTATCCAGCTCTACTTGAGGATCGACGATTGAATCGAGGTATCTGAACTTCTTGGGGTCCGTGAGAACGAATTTCCTCACCTACTCATTAAATCAATCCATTAGCTCGGGACTCGAGGGGGGGGGACCTGCCGATGGATGTTTTCCATGATGATCTCCTACCAGGCAAAAAGACGTACTCGTTCAATATGACCGTTGACATCGGCTTTTATCGGCGTGAAAATTCGACCGAGCATTCCAAGAAAGTCAACAATTACATGGCTTGCGCTCAAGAACGAATCAGACAGAACTCTGTCGTCTTCGCTGACATCGGGGAAGAAGGTAGACTCGAAAATGAACTTCTCCGGTCCGGTTGTCGCCATCCTGTAAGGAAGACGTTTGTTGATTGGGTCTCTGGCTGCCGGTCTCGCGTCGGTTCCGGGAGCGTAGATCGCAGATTGATCGCATGAATCCGCAAGGAGTGAGCTCCAAAATCCCAGAGGCTCTCTCGGGATTTCATGAACTGTCGCATTTTTCCATGCCATATTCAGGGGGAAGCAGATGGAGAGCGGCCATCTGGAGACCTCCCCAAATTATGGATATTTCCCTCCGCTTCCCCAGACACTGGGCTAATCTATCGGATCGACCATGCTTCAAGGATAGGGGTGGTCGCTGATACCTTGATTGGGTCAGGAATGATGGCCGACTTCCATGGGATCGGCGAAAGCTGAGCTAGATTCGGGCTAACGTACATATAAGATTATTCTGTGGAGTCTCAAGCGGCCTGGAGCGAACTCGCGAGTCTACACTCACTGAGCATTGATCCCTCGCAACATTTTTCAATCGAAATATCTGCGGAATTTGTGCTCGATGCCGTATTTGTTTGCAGCTCCCTGATCTCGGAGGTCCTCCGAGCATAAGGTCGACGTGCCAAGCTTGAAGATGACAATGTCTTCCGAAAGTGGGACAATGAATTTTGCTCTCTACAGGGCTGCGCTCAAAGTGACGTCAAACCCATAAAGGCCGAAAATCAGGGAGACACAAGAACACATGTCAGGTATGGAGGAGCGATCTCTGCGAGACCTCTCTCGAGCATGTGAACTCCGAAAATCGGACAGTCACGAGCATGCCGCAGTTACTCTCGACGGACTCCACTATCGCTACAGGACAGCGTCGCTGACATTCGACTTCAATCATCTCGACGCGGTTCCCGTCGGGGCTGCCAGCATCGAGGGCTCGCGTCACTCCACGAACTCCAAGAACAGAAAATGAACAGCGAAGCGTCGATGCGCTACAGATCAGGACGATCCGACACTGGTCCCGGAGTAATTGATTCTAGCTCATTCGACGGGTTGTGAGCGGAATCAGAGTAGGTATTTGGAAAAAACTCGTGGACGCAATATCCTCCAAAGATCCGTTAGAGCAAGCAGTCAAGCCTGCGTCGCACGTCGCCGACCGGGCCCAAAGACCTCTGGTGGCACCAGGGCGTGCTCCATGCCCCAAAAGTCGATTTCGATGACCTATGATATCAGCACCTTATCAGTTCAATTGTCTCTCATTCGATAGCTTAGATCGAGGAGATCCAGGTCCGTTCGCTACTGCGACACCTTCTCCGTTCGTCGTTGATACTACATGGCACAGATACGCTCAAGAATACCGACGGGAGAATCTTCCTTTCACCGCTACACACGCATCAGTGAGGCGGATCGGGATGCTCGCGAATTCAATCCCAATAAATCGACGAGAGAGCCTCGAGGAATCGATATATCCTCCCATGCGCCGGACCAGGCGGCCATCAATGTTGTGAAAAGAGAGCATGGCTCTGATCCTCCATGGGTCCGATGAGCGTAAGCTGCGTCGCGATTGACGTCCGACGGCTCACAATCACTAGAGTACTTTTCCAATCTGATCGTGAGTTCCGCTCTCTGTCCCGATCGCAATTCCATCGGGAACACATGTCGTACAGCCTAGGCAACTCTGCCGACGGAAAGCACGGGGCAATGAGGAGCTGTGAGGACTCTTTCATTATCAATAATTGCCCGTTGACGCTTCCCTCCTCAAGGGATCATCCCGGGGCTCTGCAAGCTTGATCTGTGACATTCGACGCAGTCATGCTCTACATCCGCGAGCGAAAAGAAAAACCCTTATCAAGAGAATCGTTGAGATTCTGGAGAACACTCGGGGCAGGAGAGAAGAATGCTCAATCGAGCATAGCCGCAGGATTTTCGGAAGATTTCTGGAAGTCAAAACCCAGATCGAGTCTACACAAAGACATCATTACTGCCAGATGAGTTCTCGTGAGCAGAAGACACTTGTTTCCGAGGTGAGGGCACCGCAATCTCATTAGGGCGCCAAAATTTTCAAAGAATGGGAAGCAGAGAGTTGAGAGAACACGAGAAGAAATCTTATTCGTCCAATCTAGAATTTAGTCCGTGGAAACTTACGCGTCGATGAAGACGATCTGTTTTCTCTAGAATTTTCACCGAGGCGACTCTAGAGACTCCAGAGGCCGATGGTAAGGCCGCTTCTGGTAATTCGAAAAGGGAGGGCTGATCACTATCCTCCTTCTACACTACGAGCTTCCGACAACAAGCAGAGGAGCGAGCAACAAATGGTCCCTTACCACGTTACCACCATACGATGATGAATAAACGTGACTCACGAGAAAGGGCAGAAGCTTCGGAGAGGGTCTGATACAGTGATTCAGAAAAGGCGCCAATATTCGAAATTATCGATGCTTCACAAGTAGGTGCGGAGCTTGATTTGTTCGATTGAGTCATTCCGAATGCATAGGGGGAGAGAACTCCGTCCGGGATGATTATTCCCCATATTCGGAACAACGAACACAATTCGTGCTCCATGTTCCTGTGGCGTGAAAACCTGGCCATTCTCGCCTACCAGCGTGCCTTATGAACCGGTCAGGGAGGTGCTCTCAGTCAGTCAGCACTGTCCGATCCTCGACTCCTCAGCCGAAGAAGCGAATAAGCGGTCCCGTCACCCACATGTCTTGGAATTCGTCAATCCGGTGATCTTCGCTGCGCTGCGGGAGAGCGAGGCTGGACCTGGATGCTTGACTGACTGATTTCTCCGGAGTGCGGTCAGAAGCCTAGGGCCTAGGAAAATCCTGATAAAAAATAATCGATGGCTCTAGCGGTGATTAGGAAGCTCGAATCGGACATCGAGAGGAATAGAATGTCCTTGCTGGAGGTCGCGAAAAGAATCCCCGAGAAGAATCACGGTTACCGTGCTGTTCGGAGCCATCGCTTTGACTTATCGAATCGGAGCCGATGATATGCTTCGCTTGGAATTTATTACGAATCTCTAAAGAATTCCAACTAAATCCCTAGATGCTGTATTCAACAAATCGTCTGTCGAGCTCCATCTTGAACTGCTGCAGCTTCTGTTCCGGCGTGAGATCCGGAACATAGTAGTGTTTCGGAGGCTTCCCTTCCTCAAGACGAATTTGGACGCTGCTGAACTTGTACGCGATTTCCCCGTAACGGGCTCTGGAGTGTCTTCGGACACCTTTGAAGTGCGTTCCTTTCGATACCGTCGCTTCAGCCACCCACATGTTGGATCCGTATTCTATATTGTGCTCCGATACAGCGATCCTCCTTGCCTCCTCGAGCGCCTTCTTGACTTCTTTCGCGGCTTTGTGCACATCGAAGTCCATCTGAGCTATTGCATCATCGATCGAAAGACCTCGAATCTTCCAAACGAGAGGCAGATATTTCTTTACTCCACCCCTGACATCAGTTCGCGCATACTGTACGTAGGGAGTAACCTGGGAAGAAACGTTGTGCTTAGAGCGTCTCGCTCCTGGCGTCATCGACGCGAAACATAAAGAAGACGCTGCTCTTCCCAAATTCATCAAACAACTCACCGGCTGTTCTGGAGGATGGACTTTCTCGTTTACGCGCGTCCATTTCGGATTTAGTGAGATCCCAAATTCATTTTTTTTCGACGCCAGAACACGGCTGGAAGTGTGCAAGCTCCGCGCAGCAAGCTCTATCGGTTTTGCCAACATGTGCAACATTCTCTTGGCTTCCTGCAAGAGTCGCGATTTCAGCACCGATTCCCCGGTCTCTCATCGAGGACGCGAGATGGATCTCTCCGAAAGCGCGTATGCATCTTCCAAATTTCAATCGCAGTCAAGTCGCAGAATGACTAGACTCCTCCTGCATCGGACGGACGCGAGGGTCTCTGTGTATCGGAACATCTGGTGTACATACCTCTCCGCATGCGAAAATTCCGCAATTCCCGGCACGAGTATAATTGCGCACACACTGATCAAAATAAAGAGAATGTTTTCCTTCTTCGAACAGTGGCGCGTCGTTACAGCCGCCGGCGATCTCCAAGATCTCATTCTTGACTCCTTGTCGCGCCTAACCCTCCCGAAGATTTGTCTCGGATTTACTTGCTCGATGCTTCTGAGACTCCCCTCGGGGTACCGATTCGACGTATCCAACTTCCAGATGATGAAAAAGTCCAATCCAGAAGAAGTTTTTCGAATCGTTTCGCGGGCGGCGTTCTTCACTCGCCAGTCGATCGCCCTGTGATCTCTCGACGATCCGAAGAGGTCTCTGCATCTTCGTCAAAATGTTCTACGTTGACGAGATGTTCACTTGACATTTCCTTCGGGGCAAGGAGCGAGACTAGACGATAACGTGAGGGAAGGTCCGATTCGGGTGACGAAGAATATCGAACTTTCCACCTGAGCATTTGAAACTCAGCCTAATCATGGGAGGTAAGTTCACGGGAGCCGAAATATCTGTCACCGCCGCTGGTGATTGGAAGAGCGACCCAGGAGTCTTCCGGGAATCTGCTTGTGACCGTGCGAGGGCAGCACGTAATTGCAAATTCGGGAGAGTGGATATTATTGAAGGTCTTCAGGGGTCGAGAAATCGAGTCTTTGCTCAGTTATCGCTCTCACGCGAAGAGCAGTCTTTCTCCAGGAAATTCCGAGATCGGTCTCTCCCCGCTAATCTCCACTTGAGCCGTTGCAACTTGAGTGCCGAATGAGTTGCACGCCATATGCATACACGATCTTCTGTGCAGATCCTTCGGAATTTTTTAAGCTGGGATCATCGTCGCGTGCTGTTCTATCGAGTGTCGGGTTCCGAGGGCGCGCATATTACGTGAGGTTGACTGGAGGCTCTCATCTGCGTGGGAAGCCGAGACGAGCTCCTTGATTATCGGGACCGACGACTCGCGACGAGAACGTTCTCGAGTTGCGGCAATGGCCTTTCACGGAAACCCGAAATACTGTCCGATTCCGAGTCCGGAAGGAATGTACGAATGCACAAAGTGACGAAAACTCCCCCTCGCTTGTCCGGGATGTTCAGCGAGCATCCCCACGGATTTTGTTCGCACATCGCTCAACATCCGAATCGAGCACCGAACAAAGTGGAAAGTCTCAAATCCTTATGTCAGTGGAACTGAGCGGTCTATCCCTTCATCCCGACCTGAGAAGGAGTATTCGGTCTCAAGAAGTTATTCGATTATTTCAGAGCCAACTACGGTGCAGGATGAGAAGGGTCCTTCGATGACAGATACCACAGCGATAACAGCAACGACAGTGGACGAAATATCCGCGGGAGCACCGCCGAGAAGAAAAAACGGGTAAGGCGTCGCGCGGCAGATACGGTGGGAGTTCGCTGCGATCCTGTTACAAAAATCGGGGCTCGCATACTTTCCGAGTGACTACGCTGCCTGCAGAGGCCTCGGAACCGACAGGAAATCAGAGCTGGATGTCCAGGACCCGATACATCATTCCCATCGGCAAAAATGAAGACTGATCGAATGACCCATACTTTCGACCGGACCTTGAGGCAGTCTGTCCCCTCTGGACTTACATCGTGTTTGGCTGGGGATCAGCGAATCTTTTTCACGGAGGCTCCGAATCATTGCGAGCTTCCGCCGGCGAAGTTGAATGCTTTCCCGCCAAACATGCACCGACGCTGTTCCCAAGCGTACCTCTATCACTCACCCGTCGAAGGCTCGAATGCTCCGAGGAGCTTCCTTTCCTGCAAAAGCGAGTTATATCGTCCACTGCTCGTGGACGCCAGGATCCATTTCCCGAACGACGCTATCTCGTCCGCAAAATTCCCAGTATTCGTGGGTGAAAACCTTATCGCCTATGAGTAACAGCGCGGAATTTTGTCCGGGAAGTTATTCGGGATATTGGAACTCGAATTGGGGGGTCGCGGGAATTATTAACTTCACTTGGGGCGACTCGTTCCGATTGCAACCTTCGATGTGCGCGGAGACCTGAAATCGCGGCTGAGCCTCACGGCCCGTGTCTACCCTCCGTCTCCGTTGGTGTCCATCTCGATCAGCGTCTAAGTTCTAAGAACGAGGAATGATAATTCCAGAAAAACAGAGCGCCGCATGGAGGAGGCGAGAAAAGGCTGAAAGTAGACAGCAAAAAGCCGAAAGTAGACAAAATCGAGTTGAGCAGGAGTCCACTGCAATATTTGAATACCGTTCTCGAATCACCGCCAGCTTTCACTCTCGAGCATATTGGTAAGGACCTCCCGTTAGGACTGAGTCCGGAAGTCGAAACTGCGATCGGAATCGTGACAAGCATGGGGAAGTTCACTCTAGCTTAAACTATACCCGGTCGGGACCCTAATTCGGGCATGCTTGCTTCATTAAGCTGTATTTGTCTGGTGCAGATGGACCCGTTCACGAGCCTATATTCTCGGCGAAGGTGGAGGTTCTCGGCAGAAGATTTGTGGGCCTCGGCCGGAATAAGCAGCATGCCAAACAAGTCACCGCCCTGGAAGTCCTGAAGGTGAGCTCGGGAGTCGATCGACGCGAAGCCGACAGTCAATCGACGCTGAATCTGATCGTTGTAACTCAGTTCCATCACGTTATAGGTCATGTTAGGAGACCCGACACTGACTTATGTTGGGAGCGAGACCCCCGTAGTGATGAAAGAGGTCGCCAAGCCGGAAAATTCATCGCCGGAATCATCGAACGCTCTAGTATTGAAGGTTGACGACGCAGCGAAGACTCCTGTACAAATTCTATATGAGTTAGACCACACCGCCAGCTTCCGTCTCGTCAAAGAAGACTCATCAGTCTTGTCGCACCGGTTCGTGGATCAGCGAATATTTATGGCAGAAGACACGTAGAGCTTTATTTCATCGAAAATCTTAGTCTTGTGTGGGAGATGAAGCTCATGTCAACTTTTCATTGTTTATTTGTACCAATACGGAAGGTGTCTCTGAGCTCAAGTCGTACTCGAATAGGTTCGTCTTCGAGGTCCTTGTGAAGGGCGTGCCTTACCGCGGATTCGGATCGAACAAGAAGAAAGCTAAGCATGCGGCCGCTCGGACCGCTTTGTACGCAATGACCACTCCGATTCGAGGTACTCAAACCGAGGGCTCATCGGGAAGCCCATTAATGCCAGCCTCAAAACTCGATGCCGATTTACTAATTTGCAAATCCCTTCAGACACCGGCTCTCTGGTAGAGGAGGTTTTTTCAAGCGTCCCGCTGACGTTGAGCGACACAATAACATTGGCTGTACTGAACGCGTACGAAGATATCATGGAGACGCGTCCTGACAAGAAACCGTGGAAAGTATTGGCTGGTAGGTCGGAGCAGCAATTTTCCCGCAGAGCAGCGCCCTGGATTGTGAAATTCTCCGATGTTAGATGACGGAACATGTAGGAGCGGAATCCGTTCTTTTCAAAAGTTTGTCTCCATTGAAGGATTGGTCGCCACGTTCGACACCGATAATGGCTCGCCAAGAGTTCTGTGTATCTCCACGGGAACGAAGTGTATCAGCGGACAGAATCTGTCCATGACCGGCACCGCCGTCTTCGACAGTCACGGCGAAATTCTTACTAGACGGTGCTTCAAATACATCTGCTACTGCGAACTATTGCGCCTAAAGTTCTCCAAGGGTACGGACGATTCCCAGGGTCCGCCTCGGCTTTTAGAGTTGGATCCCAGTGATAGGAAGGCTCGTCTCGCGGGAGGCGTGAAGTTACATCTATTCATAAGTACAGCACCGTGTGGAGATGGACGACTCTTCGCGCCGAACGAAGACGCTTGTAAGGTCGTCGATGAGGGAGCTAATAAAAGCTCAAGAGGATTGCTGAGAACCAAAATCGAGGGCGGTGAAGGTGAGCGAGCGGCGCCGAATCAGATACGCTGTCGAGGGATTCCGGGACTCAACAGCGGCTCGTCTAGCTGACGGGAATCTAAAGCGATACGCTTTCCATTAGGCACCGTCCGCATTCACGGAGATACAGTCACTCAAACGTGGGATGGAATCATGAACGGAGACCGTCTCTTGACCCATGCATGTTCAGATAAAGTTCTCCGGTGGAATGTTCTCGGCTTGCAGGGCTCCCTGCTGTCGAAATTCGTAAATCCGGTGAGTTCCTTGTCCGCCGAAAGTAGTGAACACCTTCCCAACCCGGCTGTCCTTCATGCAATCCGTGGCTCGGTTTCAGATTTATTTGGATTCGATCATTCTCGGATCCTTGTATCATTCAGAGCATTTATCACGGGCTGTCGTGGAACGAGTCGCTTGTATCACTGAAAACCCATCGCTCCCGAGGAATTACCGATTGAATCGACCGCTTTTGGCCAAGTGAGCTCAATCGTTCGGAAATCAATAGTTTCATTCGATTTTACGAGGGACGATTCCAAATTCTACGCAATGTGAATGATCCATGAATCACCTCGCTTACAGAGCAAGTTCAACTCTGGAACGGCAAATAACGAAAACCCCGTCCTACGCTCTGAACTGGATACTCGGGGACCAGACCCCCGAGGTCTTGAATACCGAGAGCGGAATTCAAGAAAACGGTTTCCCATCGCGTCTATCCAAGAAAGTGCTCTTCGATAGGTGAGTTCGCTGGCAATCTGTTGGGGGACGCTCGCAACTTCCGATCGGAAGAGCTGGAGTACATTTTCTCGCGTCACCATTCCAGGTACAAGCAAGTTGCACAAGCTTGGAACCCGAATGTACAGCCGGCCAGTATGACTTATGCGGATGCGAAGAAGAACGCTCTCGAGTACCAAACAGCTAAACAATGTCTCATGAAAGCGATGGGGGCCGCGTCCCTCGGACCGTGGGTCAAGAAGCCGGAAGAATGCGAAACATTTTTTTGAGTATGAGCTCGCCGAATTGAGAGGCGGGTCGAGCCCGCTTTTCGGGACGATCGGCTCTCGATTCCGAAAATTTATTGTAGTAGTCTCTTCAAGGACTCCGGTCTCCTGCATCAATTGTAGGTTTGTAGGGCCATCGAGCGATCGTCTCCTCTCTCACGCTCAAGTGTGTGTCCCTTGTAATTTATTGGCCGTGCAGTTGTCTTTGATGCGTCATTGTGTTTTCGGTTGATCCGAATACTTTGTACGAACCTCAAGTCTAAAACCGCGATTGCTATAACATATGAAGTTCCGAACCAGTGAGAAGTGTGATCTCTGTCGGTGTGATACCATCGACGCTTTAGAATTCGCTCCTCGATTCGGCGCAGTGGTCGGAAGGTGTTCATTAACGACGAGAAAACGAAGATTCAGCTAGAGAAAGACCCCTTGTACAGGCGAGATGTGACCGCCTGAGGCCCTCCTTGGATACTCAGGGGAAGATCGAGAAATAAAACCTATATTTGTTATTCGAGAGAGACTCTGGATGACTCCCGGCTGATACTGGAGAGGGAAGAGACTGGCTCCGCGATTGACAGAGTCTGTGTTGTGTGTACAAGTTTATTGTAAATACGTTCAGATGTAGATGAAAAGAAGGGGGCTCGTATCATATCATGATGTGGGTCAAAAGACGAGTTTTCCTCTGCTCCGCGACGCCGGAACTGTTTCAATACTTTATATACAGAGTTCCGAGCTCGACGGGCGATGGTGATCGCTTTTCCTCCGGTTCCGGCCGTTTAGCCACGCAACAATTATTTCGGATCGTCTTCCCGAACTCTCTTCGCGACGTAGAACAATTCCAGGGGTCGATTTTGTTTCCAATATTTGTCGTTAATCTGCTCCAATGTGATGTTCCCCGGCAACGCAAGATAAGATTGCGGCCCGGTCGAAACATAGAGGGTATACGAAACCTTCTCCGAATCTGAGCTTTGACCCCGCTCGCTCCAATCGATATCGAATCGTGTTGCGAAGTATGCTGCGAGATGTTCAGCCGTTGCGTTCGCAGTTGTTTTCATATACCTTCGATTGAAACTTGGTATCAGTCGACGCGTTCCGAATTCAACAACAATTCAGGCAACCTGAGACCTCAACCCGGAGGTCCCCCATGAAGGGCTGGTCTTGACCTACCTGATCTGGCTATCCTGGGAAGCCTCATGCGGATGCGGTTTAGCGACAAGTTCGACCTCGTTGACAGTGACTACATTATCGGTCGACGACTCATCAGTATCGTCTGGTGCGACGGCACGGCCTTTCTTCCGGAGCGGCGGCTGGAATGACAGATGCTTTACGATCTCTCCGTGGTCACTTCATATCCGAAGGGAGGTCGGACGAATGGAGTCCCAGTTCGGACGGTCCATGATGCACTCTCGTCGATCCCGGGAATGATTCTCCGTTGCCGTGTGAATGCGACTATTCGATTACATTCGTAACTAACCTGTGGAGTAGAACTCCTGCTGCTCCCGTCACTGACAGAACCGTCGTTCTGATTCTGAGGACTGTTTGCGGCCTGCGACGTTTGCGATGAAGCTGAGGGTTCGTCACCCTCACCGAGCCGTTCCCCCGTCGGTCGTTTCCGATTGGTCTTCAAACGAATGGAATTAATTAGCAGGAAATCAGGATTGATGTACCCTCCCGGATACCTCGGAATCCGGCCATGTACAGAAAAATTCCGGGGGAAATACGTACCATTTTTCTGCTGAGTGCTTGAGCCTTGAGACCTTCTTCGATGGACGAGGCGAAGGCTTGCCCGCAGGTTTTGTTGAGTTTGGCGAGAACTCGCTCTTGATAGTGCTCGTATTCATCCCGAGATGGATAGATTTTCGCTATAAGAGCATCAAAGTTCGGGTCAGCTCTCAGGCTCCGCTTCGATACGAGCTTCTTTCGGCAGGTCGGGCACTCCTTGTTCCCGGAACGAAGGGCGGTGATGATACAGTCCTGACAGAACCGGTGGAGACACTCCTTGGTGGTCATGGTGGTTTTGAGTATGTCCAAGCAGATTGGACACATCAGCTCTGAATGTAACGACCTCTGCGAGACCGCGATTTCGGTCGAGTCTGTGCAGACCTAGAGGGCGAAGAATCGGATTAGTATGGCGAGGAAATCGATCATGAATGTAAGACGATGGAGGAGTTCGTGTGATCGTCTGCCGGTATTCGTCAGTCGTCTTCTCATTCGCTAGTCGGCGCAGATGTGAGCTCCGAACGTGTTGCGGGGAATCAGACGCTCGTCGCCCCATTCCCGGGATGAGTTCCCTGGGCACCACAATACGCAGAGGAACCTAGTCCCGGAAATCCACGTGTTAGGATAAGCGAGCCCGCTGGTGAGCCCGTCATCGGTTGCGAGGATAGGCCCCCGGGTATTGACGCATGCAGGCGACCGAATCGAGAATCCGCCATGTCTTCCCAACACAGAAAGTGGCTCCGCGCAATATTTCGTCCCGAGTCTGCGACCGCCATCCCCCGTGAGGGCGCCATCCCATCAAGCACTGACAACGAGCCGCATCGTGAACGCTCAGGATTCCCGGATTCCTCTCGAGCTCAAGAGCCGACACAAATCGAAAACCCGCACAAGAACTCGTCAATCTCGCCTGAGAACGGACACCGCACGTCCAATTGGGAAGCATTCCACCGCACGTTCCCAAGCCCGATGGGATAGAATCCCGATCAGAAAACCAAGCGCCGGCTTACTTGGGGTTCGAACGGGCTCGGAAACTTTCCCCACGGCGGGGCAAAATCAAATCGCGGAGCACAATCAATTGCCCTACCAAAGCAAGTACGGAAATCATTACCTCTTGTGGGGTTCTGTTCATCTCATACAGGGACAGATCCCAAGTTCTTGCGGCTCCTAAGGGATCCATTGCTGTCATTCTAGTTAGTGGACTCGTCGTCCGCACAGCAGAAGCGAAGGTCCTGCTAATTTGATATGCACATAGAAACCAACATGAAACGCTCAGAAACGAAAGAAGTCGATCGGCAGGCAGAACTGTGTGAAAGTTGTGTCTTTCTTCGCTTCGGTGTTGTTGTCTGCGTCTGTGTTGTGTTTTGCCGCCGCCGCAGCCGGCACCGTATGAACCCTCTCCCTTCGTGGCAGAGAAAACACAGCCGGAGATGGATGCTTTGCTGAAAGGTGCAACACGCCACCGGAGAGAGCGCTCTGAGGTAGCGGGAATTTTCGAATGGAAAGGGCTGGAGTCCGAGTCGAGAGTCAGGCGGGTAAGCCCGGTCTAATCAGAGACCTACTCGATCAGCTTCCATCTTCACTGATCGGAGGAAATCCGGAGGGGCTTCCACAGCGACTCCTAGCTCTCCGCCCATCAGCGAATAGAGCCGGGAAATCGTCTGCCGCTGCGTTCCGCCAGGAGAAGGGCGAAATGATCATCATCGAGCCATAAGTTCGTCTGCGCCTGTCAAGTAATTTTCGCCCAGGGTTGAGGGTGCCATAGCGTTTCTTCAATCGACCTCTCCAGAGTTTCGAACAATCCCACAGCCAATCGGCTCTGGCTGAGTTCAAGCAGGAACAACCTTCAGTCCAAAAGAGGTAAGTTCTCAGGTCTCGATGAGCTCTGCGAACGTCTGGGAGGCTGGGAGTCTTGAAGTCTGGGTTCCCGGAGACTCGCCGATGGAAGTGATGTTCTCCAGTTCGCGCTGCCCTCTTTCAACGAGTCACGAATTCCTCTTCCGGGTCTGGTGTCTCAAGGCAATCGTAACCTAATATCGAAGAGTCGGAGCTCGAGTCAATCGATAATCATCAACCTGATTGCACTAACCCAAAGAGGAAGATGAAGTGCCTCATCCCGGTAGCTCGCCTCGGAATCGAAATCCCATTTTATAAGAGGAATTTAATTCTAGATTCGAGATGATGAGCATGGCCGGAGGATGACGGCATTTACTTCCAGAGATTTCCGAGCTTAAAGTCGATAATTGCAGATGGATGTTACACCTAGAGCAGGAGCTGCTCCATCGGCGGGGACGGGCGATGGTGATGAAGCTGTTGAAGAAATCATCATAGATCCCTCTTCGGAAGAGGTTGACTTCAACCACAGTCGAATTACAGAGATCCAAGGATTGGAAGTCCTCCAGAATATTCGCGTCCTCGGTTTCAGGAACAACCTAATCAAGAAGATCGAGAACCTGAATTCCCTCACCACATTGGTCGAATTGGAATTGTATGACAATCAGGTACAATCGGAGAAGAGACTTGAGCTTATCAGATTGGCGGATCTTGGACGACTTCCCGATAGATCAGCCCTGCGGGAATTTCAGTCATGATTAAGAACGCTTTCCGCTCATGCCCATCATGCATTTCAGATAACCAAAATCGAGAACCTTGACTCTCTTGTGAACCTGGAAGTTTTGGATTTGTCCTTCAATCGTTTGAGCGTGATCGAAAATCTATCGTCGCTGCGAAAACTCAAAAAGTTGTACTTTGTGAACAATCGCATTTCGAAAATCGAGAATCTCGAGGCCTTGACTGATCTTCGGTTGCTCGAGCTGGGAGCCAACAGAATTCGTGTGATCGAGAACTTGGAAACATTGACTAATCTCACGGAGCTCTACGTTGGAAAGAACAAAATTTCAAAATTGCAAGGCCTCGAGAATCTCGTCAACTTGGAGACCTTGAGCGCTCAGAGCAATCGCTTGACGTGTATCGAGGGCCTCGATAATTGTCTGAAACTCAAGGGTCTCTACCTGTCGCACAACGGCATCGAAGAACTCCAGAATCTCCAGAACAACGTGAGTTGAAATAGTGTTCTGAAAAACAATTCGCGAGCGCTGACTTGAACTACGAGTTTGAAATATGGATTTTTCCGTCGGTAGAGAGATCTGCGAACACTGGATTGCGCAGCGAACAAGATCAAGAGGCTTACAGGTGTATCACATCTGAAAGAACTAACAGAGTTTTGGGTAAGCGGACTTGAGTTGGAATCTGCTCCGAAGATGTCTCGCACGGGAATGGAAAAACCAAGGGGGACTCGATGTAGGGTAGAGCGACGACCGGGAAAGCCTGACACATAAGTCTTCCTCTTTCAGTTCAATCACAACCTGATCGAAGACTGGCATGAGGTGGAGACCCTGAGCGAGTTCCCGAAGCTAGATACGGTCTACCTGGAGGGAAATCCCATCGCTCGAGATCCTAGTTATCGTCGGAAGATCATGCTGATTGCGCCTGTCGTCAACCAGATAGACGCTACGCTATGCCGATCATAAGCGCTCGACTGCTCCCCACGAAACTGCGTCGACATCACAAGCGCCATCGTGTAATTAATTTATTGTTCTATGTTTCCTCACGAGTAAGGAAGGCCAAAGCTGATAAGCGTGTCGGTGCGAATGTTCACACTGTCGTGTTGCATATCGATGTATTTGTCTACATGTGTTCAGCTCGCGGAATAAAAAAAACAGATTGTCTCCCAAATAAGACACTCGTCATCCCCTACACCTCTACAACTCTATACTATCGGCTAGTGTCTGTAACCAAGGATGGACATTGAGCTCCATGGCTCCTCACCATGATGAAAAACAGCTCGTATCCAAACCATACCGCAAATTTCTGTCCGAACGGCCAGCTGAGTGTCCACTGATGAGTGATGAGTAACCGAAGATGCTCTCCTCCACCGCGTGTCGCGGCTTGGGGAGCATTCCGTCCGAGACCGTGGAGTGAGGCTACGTCTTAACCCCAATTAGTCCAGAATTTCCATGATATTTTTCGTCTTCATTCTTATACAACAAACGACGGCTGCGTTGTTCCTCACACCATTCCCGGCTAAACACATGGAGCCTGCATACATTACTGCTTAGAGAGGAGCTTCACCTGTGACTGAGGGACTGTCAACTCTTCTCCATCACTCATCCTTCAAGATATTTCTCCTGTCATTAAGTGCATTCTCCTGTCGCTCAGCTGTCAGGTGTTCGGCTCTGCGTATTCGATAAGCTGCCGATTATTGCGCGTCCGAGGGCAGCACGTCGAGCTCAAACTTCCCAGTTTTGACAGTTGGGACTTTCTGACGACGAGCCCAGGAAACACTGACACCGACTTCTATCCCGGAGTCGCCCGAAGAGGTCGTAAGTCACTAGTAATGGCCAACGATGCGCATGGGAAACTGCGGATCGGAGAGATGTTCGTCAACTAATTAACTCTTCCCACCATGAAGCTCATCGGACGAAGCGACGAGTCCTCTCGAACAGCCCTTCCCAAGAAACAGGCTCCGTCGACCCTTCCAGCGACCCGAATTCCTCCGCGCCCCCCTCGCGCGGAGCAATGCTCAGCAGCCTTCATGGGAGCATGATTCAAACCATCCCATACCGCCCGCTTATGCTGCGTGGCGCTCCATGGGCAACTCTCACGCAGAAGATCATCCGCAAATGATCACAGCTCGGAATTTTATTCTCTGTATACTTCGGCTTGCTAGTGTATCGACGTGCACGAGGCTTGGTCTCGAGGTGCGTGGGTCCGGAGGGGTCCCAATGAGCAGCTGTTAATTTGAAACCGCGAATTCCGGCTGGCCACAAGGTTTGAGCTTCCCTCACGGGAAGCTCAACGGCAGCCTAAGATCCGACCGGCGTTTTTCGGAGTGTGCAGTCAACTTCATACCCTAGACACGAGACCCGCCAAGCGTCGAAGCTGCCGATCGGCGCTATTGGAGTCATTGACTCTCGACCGGGGTGCGAGCGCCCTCAGGAGTGAAGGGAGGAGTCCAGATGAGCATGAAGAGAACGCGTCGGTTCGCCCGCTCCGGAATCTGATTCTGTGACATTGACCGGTAGAATCATCCTTTGGACCCGAAAATTCAGTTTGAATATCACTCATAGTGGCGCACACATTCCTCCCCGCCGATTGGGTCCGTCTGATAGGGCGCTTAGGGGAGCTCAGATTATTCTTCGTTCACGATGGGTGGGAGGCCTTGGTCTGAGGGGGAGGATTCATGCCCCGCGAACTCCGACGGTCAAACACGGCCCGAGTCCAGACGGTGCATCTCGATATCAGTTGTGAGTGTCCCTCCCCCAGAGGCAACGTTGTCAGAGATGTTGTCTCAACAACTGTTCGTGAAGCGAAGATCCGTGTGTCCAGCCTTTAATCCGATTGAAGCGAACGGGAGTCCGGACAAAGTAGGAGAACTGTGGCGATGGGGAATCGCATCCCCGTCGCTCCGAGAAAACAACAACAACAACTCGATGAGGCTTGAAGAATGAGAATGTCGTTGCCAGACGGCATCCGAATCTTCAAGTGCTCAGCAGTCAGTCAATCCGTCGTCGGCCGGTCAAGCAAGCGTCGGTCGGTCTTCCGGACGGACGGACGACGGGCGGTAGAGTCCATGCTCTGAATCTGAGCACTCACTCAGTCGACAACGGTGCAGCAAACAACGGATGATTGGGATAACGACCCGGAGCGATGGGAGCGCATCGGGAACGGAGGGGCCGATGAAAGCAAACACACATCGTCGGCTCAATTCAGTAGAGCATGCCTCGACTTAAGGCTCGATCGAAACTCTCAGAGCTAACCTGCTGAGGACGATCCACATCGCAACGCAATGATCCAAGCACCACGTGATGACGAGCGTTTCCCTAATACTGACGCTTTGTCCGTACGCGGAGTATTGTTCGTCGGTCGTCGGGGAATGCGGTCGAGTCTCGAGGATTGCGAACCGCGGCAGCTGAATAAAAAGTCGACCCGGGGTTATTCGGATGCACTGAGTGAGATATACTGGGAAGACTCATGAGAGCCGTGTCACACTTCTCGCGGAAAACGTTTGAGTTCCGGTTTGATATTTGGCGATAACGAAGCAGTAAACATCGAGGCCGCTGCCGTGGGGCAGTGACGACAGACTGGGGGAGTCGAGGGAAAAGAGACGTAATTGTAGAGTACACATCGCAGACATGGGAGCAAGTTTATTATATTATCAACAACGAGGCAGGACGCAGCGGAGTGGAGTGATGTTATGCGAGGGGAACGGAAGGGGAAATCTGGGGTTTAGCGGAACGAGGAACCAGAGGGGCCACAGAAGGGGCACGTTAACGAACCGTGCCCGAGGCCACAGTCTGGACCTGTGGAAGTCGCGAGGAGCCATTCAACACTCACTACATGGGAAAGTGTGTACCCACCAATTGGACAGATTTCTTGAAAACTTAAACGCTTCTCACTCGGCCACTCCTGTGCCGACGGGGTCAGTATCCCTCGTCGGCTTCGTAGCATTTTTCATCCACGTTGTTTTTGGAACCAGCTCAAAATCAGGTGATAACTCGATATTCGTTCGCGTTGCGCTGGATCAGATTATGGTCGCATGAACTATGACTCGATTTCTAAGTATATTTCAGAGTCCAAATGAGTCGAGACTAATTTGAGGGAATAGCGTTGGATTACGCTTGACGATGGCTAAGCTCTCGAATATCTTTGTCGATGAGAGAGACAGTGAATCAACATGGTTATGGTTATAAGTGGTCCCCGCATCTTGGGATTCACAGAAAGGATAAGGAGTCTCGTATTGCTATTATGAATGAGAAAAATTTATTGAACTAATTTCCAGACTCCAATTCATTTTACTATTGCTACCACGCAATTCCACAGTTGTAGCTCTAGGTGTGGCCCCTGGAATGAGAATAGAATTTTCAAGTAATGTTTATTTGTTTTTCTTTTTTGAGAGAGTAGGAAGATGCCTTATGTACACCCAGAAATGAGTCTGGGTAGTAAGAGACTCGCACTCACTGAAAACCTACGCTTCTCTATCTTTTTTCGTTCTCATCTATTGAGTCGTCTTGATGCAGGCCGATTATAGACATTTCGCGCATCTTGTTCTGCTTTCTTCGTCTTTTGATATGGCTCAAACAATTTCTAGCAAGGAAATCCGCAGAAGACGGGCTTGTGATAGTCGAAGTAGCTAATGTTGGTGGAGCATTCCAAACTTGTATAATCCCGGGCGAAGATCATATCCAAATATGTTTGTCCTCTTGTCGTAGCAATTGGCGGAATTGTCTTGAGTTCGAATCCATGTTCGGATTCGAGGAATTTTGACAAAGATATCTTCTTGGTCTCAGATTGAATATCATAATTGAAATCAGCACAAAGGATCATGGGATCTCGATTTGTTACACAATCTCGAGCCAACAATTTTGATTATAATTAAAAAATGCAGTAATATCTGTGAAAGAGCTTCCACAGGATATATATACTGCCGCGAGTTTTATCCACTCATCATTGATGAGGATTCTCGCAAGACATGTGTCTCCGCATTGAGAATCTATGAGATCAGGTTGGGCGAAGAATTTTGAAGTACATTTCCCGTGAGTCGCGACACCTCCGGTTTCAGACCATGTTTTAGTTTCGACTATGACTGAACTAGCAGTCTATGCCTCTTTCAATTTAAGCGTGGTAATCGCGGCGCGAGAGTCCGAAGACTGCAGCCAGGGAGACTTCGGCACAACGGGTGAGCCCCCGGACGAAAATCAGCCCAATCTTTTTTGGGTAGCCACGGCGAGCCAAGCCACACAACAACGAGCCACCGTGATTATTGAATTACGATCCCAAAAAGGATTGCAAGCCAAATTCACGCTGGCAGATGTAGAATCGATCTCCCCACACGGTCCTCTTTGGAGCTAGGCGCCGCGCCGTATCCGCGGAGGCGACTACACGACTCGAAGCGCTGGGCCGACTGACCGAGATTGGGGTTTAATGTTGTTTATCGGATTGAAAAAGATGGATTCCAGGGCGAGAAAACTCGAAAAAGAGATGGAGCCATCAAGCCGAGCTCCCCACACCCGGGTGCTGCTTCGCCTTCTATTAGACATTCGGTCGTTTTGGGCGAACTATGCCTCACCGCTCGCGGCGACCCTCGGCGCTGCGAGAGATGAGGACATAGTCAAGTCGTGTAGGCTGGCAGAAATGACGAGTGGGAAATGATTCTCGTTGATCAAAGAGGAGCTGCTTGATGTTGCCCTTGGGACCATCGAGAATGTGGTTGATATGTCCGCTCGAGGGAGAACTCTCATAGATAGCAGTTGTTAGCATGCAAGAAGAGTCAGGAAGTCTGCGCAACATCATTGTCACTCATTCTGCTGGCATTAGCAGCCATCCTCACATGAACGAGGTGAATGACGATAAGCTCTAAGTGCTCATCCATCGATACCTCGTTGTCTGAGGGACGACCACCCACTTCCTTGGTATTATGGTCTCAACCCGCGAAGCAGCGGCACTCGGGGAGGGAGGGATACGTTGCGTAGAGGTGAGAGAAGGGAATTTACTCGAAATAATCAGAAGAAAAATCATCTTTGGAATGGAGAAGATGGACGAATTCGATTTGACGGGTCAGATCGAGTCATTCGTCCACGGCTTGCGGAATTTTCGGAGCTCGCAGCGGAGTAGCTGACATTGAGTCCGGAGTTGCCGAGTCAGCTGATTCGTCCAAGGAAGAGCACCCTGCAAAA